GCCCACCGGCGGCCTACCTCGCTCTCTCCGCTCGAGGAACTCGGCGGCCTCCAGCAGCATCTGGATGTTCTCGCACACCTGGGCGGTCGCCGCCATTTTGCCCCTTCTCTGCCTGCCTCGGGCTCGCCGACCCCCTCCCCTCGTCGCTCGGCCGGAACGGCGGCAGCAACAACGCGGCGACGGCACCGGCCAGGCTCGCCTTCCTTTCCCCTCCGGCGCCCGCAGCACGANACCCGCTGTCCCGCGAGCGCGGCGCGGATTGGGCGGCGGCAACCGGGCTCCTCCCTCGCCGTTTCCAGATTGGTCCGCCGCCATGCAGAACGGGAGCGGGCCACGCCCCGCTCGCTCTTCCTCCTTCTCATTGGCTTTCCCCCCGCCGTTAGTAAGACTTAGCCTCGCCCCGAATCTATCTGCTTTCGGTTGGTTCAGCGGCTCGAAAGCACCGCCTCTCGGCGCGGATTGGGCGGCGGCAACCGGGCTCCTCCCTCGCCGTTTCCAGATTGGTCCGCCGCCATGCAGAACGGGAGCGGGCCACGCCCCGCTCGCTCTTCCTCCTTCTCATTGGCTTTCCCCCCGCCGTTAGTAAGACTTAGCCTCGCCCCGAATCTATCTGCTTTCGGTTGGTTCAGCGGCTCGAAAGCACCGCCTCTCTGCGGACGCCTTATTTCATTGGACGAGCTTTCCACACACGACCCTTCCCCCGCCGCTTGGTATTGCCTACGTGACAGAACTCCCCCCATGCTTCTCTCCTATTGGCCAAGATTTTTAAGGCCACGCCCTCGGGCGGCCCTGATAGGCCCACTCCTTCCTCGGGCATCCCTTGATTGGCCTCTGAGTCCCCCAACCCTCACCGTTTCTTATTGTTGCTTTTAGCGCTTAGCCCTACCCACCGTCCACGCGTTTCTGTCATTCCGACTCCTCAACGCGCATGCGCTGTGCCTTCGTTGGGGATGAAATCCTGGATTCTCATAAAACATGGTATAAGCGTTTCAAACGTGCATTTGTTGCAGGATGCTGAGAATATCTTGGCTCCAGCAGGAGAGACCAGTGGGGAGAAATGATAAAACAAAGGCTTAAAAATCGTAAAATGGAGAAAACTAGGATATTTCAGTCACAAAAGGGGAAAGGAAAAATAGTGTTACAGATGATAAGGTAAAATGCACAGTATAGGGAAAGAGAAGTGCCAGGAAGGAGAAGAGCTTCTTGGCTGAAGAACCTGGGAGACTGGCTTGGATGCAATGTGACATCATTGCTTAGCGCTGCTGCATCCAAAGCCAACCGGATCTCCAACCTGCCCCACCAGAGAAACCACAAGATTAAGCAGCAGCTGATCTACTGCAGGTTAGGTCTCTTTGGAGGGGGCAGCCTGGAAGCTGATAGCAGTGGATCTGCAATCTTCATCCTGCTTTGCCAGTTTATTTTCAAGACAAACCATGTCACTTTCAGCCACCTTTTTCAGCTGGTGACTTCCTGTTGTCTTCTTAACCCCCACCTCCAAATTTTTATAAAACCAATGCCTAAACAAGTCTTGAAGAACATTTAAACTCTTCTTATGTATAACATTTTAGTGATCCAATAAAAATTTAATTCAACTCAGTCATTTGATTTTACACCTGAATCATGCAACTGTAGGTATTTTTGAAAAAGAAGCCTATTCTAATGCAGCAGTGGGCAACTATTGCTGTTAGACCAAACCTCCACCCTGCCACCCCACCCCGAGCACAAAACTACTTGCAAGCTTTCGGGAAAACTACATCCCTTCTTTCAGCAAGATGTTACAGAAATCCATAAAACCATTCGTTGATTTAGCCAAATCAAAAAACAAAGTCTATCCATATGCATCTTTTACTTGTTCTCAATGTAGGAAAAAAGCCTCTAAAATCCATGCAAAAGCATTAACTTTATTAGTATAGACAGAAATATCCCCCAAATACTAAGCAAGTTTTTCAACCTCTCCAGAAGACAGGAAAGAAAGACTGAGAGCTGAGAACCATTCTGGAGAAGGTTTTTTTGTGTGTGTGCTACTTGGGGGTTGGGGTATGGATTGAGTAGGAAGGGATGAAATTCTGCATCCCACCAGCACTGGGCACTAAAATATGTTATCATCGTTTGACTGTAAAGGGCACAGAAACTTTGGGATTACGTACTTCCATATTTGAACCTGATTTCAAGGGCCACCTTCACTGGGGCTATAGGTGGCCCTTAAAACATATGAACATCTAGAGTGCTACTGTTACATTTCTCGGGACCACAGTCTTGTCTTGTATCACCGTGAGCCTACTAAATATAAATTATGAATTTTGTTGACAATTCAGGCTTAACTTCACACTTGTATTTCCTGGTTAATCCAAATGAAGTCACTCAAAAACTTCAAAATAGGAAAACAAAGTATATTCCTGAACCAATCGGAACAGGATCCTTGGGGTACTTAACGGAAAATTCCCACTTCTTCAGGTGGGATTACTGTACTTAAAACTGCAGTCTTGCAGCCCTGAAAACTTCATATATTCAACCAATTCTAAAATATAGTTCTCATCACTGACTACTGATTCTCATTCTTAACAGAACATTTATTAATGAGGAACAAATGAGATGTTTACTTGAAGGAGACACAGTGTGTGTGTGTGTATAAAAGGGACAGAGAGAATGACTTTAGATTTGTCTGTGAGATAATCTTACATAAGGCACACCCTCTTGCAGTGTGAGCTAGCAACATCCTGTTAGCTTTAGGACTCTACATGCACTAGTGTGTAGGAGGAATAAATCCTATTGCCATTCTAGGTCAAAGGAAGTTGAGCTTCTGATTTTAATCTGGATTGTACCTCTTAGTTGTTGAAAGCCAAAATAATGGGTGTTCAGCAGCAGAAGATGCCAAAATGAACGGATGCACTTCAAGCCCAATTAAGAATGCTGTCATATTAAATTCAATGGGACTAATTCCCAATGAGGTGTGCACCATATGGACAGCTCACAGTGCTGGCCTTCACCTCCTTGCTAAGACAGCCTCCAAAACAGAAAGGCTAAAATGGCACCAGCATCTAGGGGCATTTTACACAAGGTACTGATGCATTCGACCGCACAACTCCGGTTCCTGTCACTGCAAGGTGGTTTCTTCTTACCTTAGCACATCATCTGCAGCATGGCAAAAGCCACCCAACGTCCACATGAGAGGACTGAGAGAAAGGGGGATGTGAACAGCAGGGGAAACAAACACCCTTTTCTACATCTGAAGTATGTTCAGACCCGAGGGGGGGGGAAATACTCAGCATAACAAGCAAGAATTAATTACCAAAGTTGGTAGCTTTCTCTACTATTAATTCTTTCAAGGGAACATAAGAAGTAGCAATGACCACTGGTTTGCCTAATTTTTAAAGGGAGCCAGATAAAATAATGGAGATTAGTTTGGAGACCTTTAGCCTAGACAACTCTGTTCTGATTACCAAATATTCGAAGCAGGTGATGGCTGTAACCGCCTGATTCTGCTTGCCTTCCAGACCTGTCCAAGAATTGCAAGCAAACCAAGAAATGAAATCTGAGCTGTATTAACAGTCTTGTATGCTGATGTGGGAGCCCTTAGCTAAACAACAGCAAGTTTCATTGTGGGAAAGGGCAGAATAGAAATGGAAATCATTTTTATAAAATTAAGAAAACACGGCAGTGTCTTTCTGCAGAGTGGCGATGGCGGGGAGGGAAAGTGTAATCTCTGAACAGTCTGACAGATCAAGAAATGCTCAAAGGAAAAAACAACAACTTCAAAACTTAACTTCCATATCCAGCTAACATATAACAGGAATACACACCAAACCATTTTGTATCCTAATCGTTAGGCGGCTGTCCAACTTCCAACGTGTCCACAAAGACAAAACAGCTTTTTCTTTTTAATGGAAGCAACAATATTTAAAAACAGAAGTCTGCACAGGACAGGGAAACAGAACGCACTCAAGATTAAAACTGTGCAAAAATAAAACTCCTTACCTACTAAAAATCTGAGAAAGCCCCATAACCCTATGAGACAATGTCACTTTCACAGCATCTCCAGAAACAAGATTCCTGCCCTGTGTGGGAAGAAGCTGGCATCCTCTTAGCCACAGGTGTTGGTCTTAAGACAATTAAGGGACTAGAACAAAGTCATCTTTCGTGCCTTATCCCAATCAGATATTAGGCAATAAAATCTAGAGGCCGATTGAATCCACCTTTTCGGTTCATATATTGCCTGCAACGAGAGAAAGCAAACATTAATAGTGAAGTACGTTGAAGCCTGTTCCCAATTTCTCATAGCCCTTCTGATTTTTTCTGAAACTGCTTTGCAGATCGCCCATGGATTGTCAAGCTTGTTTTTGCAACTATGAGAGTTAGGAAAATGGGCTTTCATGCCAGAAGAGTTAAAGCCAACTCAGGGTCCCAATATTGTGTTACCAAAACACAATTCTGGACCAAAGCATAACAAACATATATCTAACCTTAGAAAATGTCTATTGTGTTTTCACCAACAAGAGTTTAGTGCAGCAGAAACTTGTATGACTCAGTGTGTCAACATTCTGACCACTGTCAAAATGTTAACTGGCACAGAGACGTTAACATCAATAGGCTTTTGAAAACCAAGGGTTGCAAGAAACTATTTTGTCTCCCAAATGCAACTCTAAAGGTTTGAGGGCTTTTTTTAGCTCAGTCCAAGGAGGATCAGAGTGTCTGATTGCTGCTCAGTATTGGCTAACTAAACTGCTCCCACACTGAGAAGGGCAATCCGTTCTGTACAGAAATAAGTGTGTTGCTTTTTTCTTTTGGCCTATGGCTTGCAGAATCCCACCGTTAGCACAGTCTCTGCCCCTCCGGCTACAGAATTCTGCAAGCTGTAAGCTCAAAAAACAACACTTCCTCTCTGATCCTTTTGTTATTTTTTTTTCAAGGGGAGGGGGACGGGGGCTTGAAGCAACACCCAGCGATCTTTTTGCAAGTATTCTGGTGACTTTGTTGCTGCTGGGCCACTCACTCTACTCCACCCCGGAAGAGTCAGCCGCTTCCCAACTACAGGAGCAAGCTGTCCGAGCAGAAGAAAAAACCAACCTGTACTTCCTCTTCTGTGACACGTTGATAGCATAGGCGTTGGCAGAACCGTCCACTTTCTTGCCCTGCAAAACACAAAGAAACACAAAGCCACCTTCAGACTACAAGAGGTTGAGCAAACCTCGCTGTCTGTTGCAAGTTCTGGGAGCCAAGTTTAGTGATGGAAGGCAAAGCAAATTCTTCCGTGTTATGGGTTTCTTTAAAACAAGGCCCACATGGTTCTAGTACAAACATAAGCAAAAAAATAAAAAAATACTGCAAGCCAGACCAGTCCTTTTTCTAGAGATTATTATAGCCTCACAAGGGACACTAGACGACACAACCACCCTGTACGTACTCAAAGAGCACACAACACTTCTAAAATTCTCCAGCAGCACTGCAGAGGACCACCTGTAGAAGTATCAATCCACTGTTCTGGGGAATCTCGCAGAGATTTTTAAGAAACAACTAAAAACATTGATGTATAGGCGGGCCTTCCCAACAGAAAACCCTTGACGATCTTTTTTCTTATTCTGTTCTTTATTATTATTATTATTTTATTTAAGTTTCTGCTGTAAAGTTTTAAAATTACATTGTTGTTTTTACTGTAAGCCGCCTAGAGTGGTCTAATATGATCAGATAGGCGGGATAGAAATAAAATAAATAAATAAATAAAGAGGAATTCAAAATGCTATTTGAGCACCGTCAATCTCGTATCTGTGGTGCAAGTTAATGATGGGAGAACAGCTGGGGTGGGATGCGTTGATGAAAAAGTTCTAGCCTAGCCAGAGATTTCCTTCTGATGACTAACTGACTGGAAGCTACAAAAGAGTGCATATAATTGCATGAACTGGCTATGATATTGCACACATTCAGACACACAACTTAACTTGGGGGATTCAGGATGCAATGATGGCAACAGCCTAGGTTGCTTGAAAAAAACATATGGGGAAATTTATGGAGGCGAGAGACAATCAAGCACTTAATAAACAGGTGATACATGAGATTTTAATGGCTCCACCCATCCAAAGTCTTATTCCTTCAGGCACCTATTACTGTCTTTCCTCTGTTTTACCACTCCAGGCAGATGTAGGTGTTGTGAGAAACAGGCGACCATCAGCCTCCACCAAAGGAGCTTTAGTTAATCAAATGTTGTCTATTTTTGTGCACACAAATATGCAGGCACAAACATCATCAGCAGCTAGAAGGTATCTCCTGCATGCCTGTCTATTGCACCAGTACGAACTCCCGTTGGTGTGCATTTACCAAATTTGCAGCTGAAGAGATGACTCCAGCATTACGTATCCTCTACACTTAAAAAAAATCTTGTCAAGCAAGTCCAAATTCTTAACGCAAATCCTGTTGTTTAGCACAGCAAGTCACACTAAAAGAGGCCCACTGAATTAGTGGGGACTCAGTGACTCAACTTCCACTGACTCAACTCTGGTTGTGACTTTAGCATAATAAGCCACAACCAGAGTAGGCCCATTGGAATCAAGGTTAGTTACAGAGGAGTAGACTTACCAGATCCCCTACTCAAATGCACCTCGATGTAGTAAGCAAGAGGATCTCAGCCCCAGCGAGCAAGAAGTGCTTGAATTCTCTTATTTTGCAAAATGAAGTCCCCCTTTTAGCATGAGCTCCAGTAATTTATTTTGGCTTGGCTACCCTTGGAGACAAGACAAGGAGAGGAATGGGGCACTGGAGTTCCATTTCCCCCCCCCCCCCCCAGAAAATCTGTTTCAGCCGCCTTTTCCAAAGTTTGACCCTCCTGTGGGTACTACCGAATCCATTCGAATCAAGGCTTGAAACACAGGAGGGTGGAATTATGCACTCGGCAGCACATCCTGCTGATGTTCAGACCTTTGGCACTGGCATGGATGGCCTTGCTTCTGAGTTGCTGGCACGGCAGGGGACATAGCATCCCCACATGATGCTCTGGTCCTAAGAACTAAGAGACAAAGCACGAAGTGGCTATGGTATTTTATGTTGTGATGGAACCCTCACGCCTTTTACCCAACCACAACAGAAAGAAAGTGATTGGCTGGAAGAAGTCAGGAGGAGAGCCATTCCAAAGGAGCCAGCAGGAGAGAGATAAAGATGAAGGGGAGAGGAGGGAGTTAAACTGTATCGAAGGAAAGGAGTCTAGGTTTTACAATGGGCTGCATAATTATTCAGCACTATTTAGGCTTCACCTTGAGTATTGTGTCCAGTTCAGGACACCACACTTCAAGAAGGATGCTGACAAATTGGAACAAGTACAGAGGAGGGTGACAAGGAGGATCAGGGGGTTGGAAACTAAGCCTTACGAGGAAAGGCTGAAAGAATTGGGCATGTTTGGCCTGGAGAAAAGAAGACAGAAGGCAGCACTTTTCAAATATTAGAAAGGCTGCCAAACAGAGGAGGGGCAGGATCTGTTCTCGATCATTCCAGAGTGCAGGAAATGTCGTAACAGGCTCAAGTGCCATGAAGCCAGATTTCAGCTGAATATCAGGAAAAACTTCCTAATGGTTAGAGCAGTACAACAGTGGAACCAGTTACCTCGGGAGCTGGTGAGTGCTCCAACACTGGAGGCATTCAAGAAAAACTTAATCACCTGGCAGTTAGGCTTTGATGGTATTCCTGCCTTGAGAAGGGGGTTGGACTTGATGGCCTTTGTAGGCCCCTTCCAATTTCACTTTTCTATGATTTCTATGGTACTGTACTTGTATCAGGGAGAGCTAGTTCTGGCATGGAAAAGCTGACACTTAGGATTCATGTAACCTCAAGCTTAAGACTGTGCAATTTAACCGTTGTGATCTTATTCTTATGTTTCAATTTAAACACCATTTGGACTCTTATAATCTGGGCTTCAGGCAAGTGCAGTGAAAGGAAAGGGCCATTTCAAGGGTGATGAGCCAGGTTAGTAGGGCTGGTCACATATGTATTCACCTTTGTTGAGTCAAATGTGGCAAAGCCCATCATTTTCATCATTTCAATCTCTTCCTCTGTCTTGCCCTCCAGATCTTCTTCTGGAAAAGAAACCAAGACACAACAGGTAGATTAAAAAGAGGAGCCGAAGGCAATGAGGAGAACCTTCCAACTTCCACAGGGCAGAGTGAACTGGGATCAAGAACGGCATGGAATCATCAAAAAGCAACATTTGTTTTTCACTTCCCAAGATCAAACTGGAGCTACCACATGTTTAAATTTCCAGAAAGACATAAAAGCCTTTTAGAGGGTGAGTGGGAAGGGAAGGCAGAGTGTACTGATGAATGAAATGTATAGCTTTCCTACAAGCAATGTGTTCAAGATTCCACATCACCCAACGCAAAGAGGCAGATTTCTGAGTTGTAGCTAGCCTTGGGTTTTCAGAAGCAGAGACACACAATTCCCTCTCTGCCACAGCAGGCGCTATCCTGCTTCTTTTACTGTTTCGCTCCCACCGCAGACAAGAAAGCCCTTGTGACTATTCTGCTTTTGAACACAGAAACTCTGCACGAAGTCAGGCATCCAAGATGTTCTCCACCTTCTTCAGCTAAAACCTTTTCCTCTTCCTGCTTGTTTCACCTTGAATGATCAAGCAGCAGCAACCTGTACTTTTCCTTTCTCATCACATAACCAAAGTATTCAAGCTTTCTGCTTTTTATGTGTTTGATGACTTCTGTTCATTTTGGTACTTCTTCATAGGTCCTGTATCCATCCAAGAAATTCTTAACGTTCTGTAATAAACCTATGTTTCAAATTCTTCTACATTTCATAAAACAGTCTGTGTTAAAATTGACAACTCCATACCATATAGTAGAACTACCTGGAACTATGCAATGAAAATCTTCAAAGTCTTCACAGCTTATCCCTTTCTTCCTCAGAAAGCAGCTCTAGGCATCTCTATTCTGACTTTTTTGCTTGGCCAGGATCCTGCTGTAGATTCAACCTAATTCCAAGACACTGTACTTGTATTTGTCAACACGTTGTTTACGCTCATTTGGGGACCTTAACTCCATTTCTCGGAGCAGAAACACACAAGACGCTACCTTCGTAATTAGAAAAAAATAAAATGTTTTCCCTCAAGAGTTGTGCTTCCATGTGATTCCACATACCTGTGGAACAGAACAATCACACTTGAAAACAAATCACAAATCAAAAGCAAGTTAACCGGCCACTTTTGGACCCATAAAATGTGGTGTTAGGACAAAGACATGGACCGAACCTCTCAAGAAAGCTCCGCTTCTAGTGATGTGCTCATGGTACAGTTGGTTGAGACAATTAGTCTTCTTGATTTTCTGCTAATTACTATGAACTTCATCTTCTTAAACTCATTTTTTGACAGTGTCTGTTACGTCATGGGTTGGTTTATTCAACCAACAGCCAATACTTGATGTGGCTGAAGGGCATGGCAGCACTAGCCACTGACAAAAGTCAACCCAGAGGCTGACCCCTTTGCTGCCCAGCAGGCATTGCTGAATGCCATCGGGCTGCGACACAGCGGTACCTGACGCAGCCCTCAGGCTCTGCCATGAAACGGAATAAAACAACGGCTCCTTCAGGGTCTGGCCCACTTTGGGAATTTGTATACTCCTGCTCGCCTCCCATTCAGGAACCCTTCAGGCATTTAAAAGGGTCTTAATCCAGGCACTGCAAGACTTTGGATTCCCTTGTTTTCCCTTCATGGTTACAGTATTTTCCTTTTAGATACAATCAGCTGTATAAAAAAAACACAAATAAATTATGGGACACATTTAATCCTCTTGCATCCTTAATAGCTGCAAAACAGCCTTCTTTCCCACTCCATCTTATTAAGAATGAGATACTGTGAACAACTCATAATTCCAATCTAGGCTAATTCAATAGGACCACATGTTACTTTGTACTTTTGTTCTCCAAGAATCGGAAAGTGCAAAGAACATAAAAGATAATTACTCTTGAATGTTTTTGTTACTTGGCTTTAGCAAAAGGGCTTTTCGCAGGTACAAAATGCCAAGCTCATCCAGTTCCAGATTCTACCAACATTTTAATGTACAGTATGTTGTTTGCACCATTTCTTTCCCCCCCTCTTCATATAATAATAATAACTATTATTATTATTATTGTGTATTATCAAGTCAATTCCGACTTATGGTAACTCCTTTCGGAGTTTTCCAGGTAGAGAAAGTACTCAGAAGCGGTTTACCCTTCCCTTCTTCTGGGGGCCCTTCTGGGACTGTGCAGCTTGCCCAAGGCCACACAGGTCCCGTGTAATTCAGAATAAAAATACTTTGGAAATACAACAAGGAAGCAACAACAGCATTTCAGGAGAAGATCTGAACAGGAAACAAATGCGCCCATACATTGCAAGAAAAGGGAAGTGGCCTTTCTTCTTTGGAAAAATAATATGGAGTCTTGGGGCACCTGAAACACTGACTTATTTCTTCTGAATACAGTATTGTGAAATACGACAGGAACAAGATTGATTTGTGTGAAATGTGTTGGAGGAGAGCTTTGGAGATACCTTCGCCTGCTGGGACGACAAACAAGCGGGTCTTAGATTAAATCAAGCCTGAATTATCTCTGGAGGCAAAACAAAACAAACAAACAAACAAAAACCAGTCCTACTTTGGACACACATGAGAAGGCAGGATTCTCTGGAAAAGACAATAACGCTGGGAAAAGAGGAAGGCCGAATACGAGAAGGACTCGCTCCCTAAAGGAAGCCACAGCCTTGAGTTTGCAAGAGCTGAGCCGGGCATTTGAGGACAGGGTTTTCTGGAGATGGCTCACTCATAAAGTCGCCAGAAGTTGGGAATGCAACTTAATAGCACATAAACACAGTGTGAATTGTAGCCCAGTTTTTACATGTGTCTAAAGAAGGGGGCTAGAGTCCATGAAGTGTACTTGTTAGTTTTTAAAGTGCCTTTAAGACTCCTTGTTGTTTCTGCTGCAATAAGATGAAGATCGCCCTCCTCTCGGAAATCTCTTCCTGGTGTCTCTGGTGGAGGCCTTCTGGCCGGGCACATTTTACAGAAACATGACAGGCCTCTGCTTTATTACCTGTAATCTGACGCTCTTTGCTTTTGGCATCCTTGTTCTCTTTCTTTTCATCATCTCGCCTTTCTTTCTGTCGGGAAGGGGAACTGGAACTGGATCTGTGCCGGCGAGGAGATCTAAAAAGTGGAACCAGCACAGGTTTTGCTTGAGTGGCAAAGGAAAGGATAAGGTACATCTCCCAGCTTATGACAGCTATCATGAACAGTCTGAATTTCAGCAGAAAATGGGCTGAGGGGTTTATATATATATATATATAACTGACCATAAGCACAAAGGAGTATAGATCCAACATACTGCTATTTTGCCATAGGGACTTGAAAGGAAAGAGTGGAGGAGGGCAGTTATGGCAGATGCTCTAGCTAGATGTTGAAGCCAGAGCCTGTGGCTGTTTTGTAGGGAGCGGAACATGAAGGATTATCCCATTTTATTCTCACAACAACTCCACATGCTATGCACATTTTTTACTGAATATGACAGAAAGACCCCCACAACATTCCAATGAGCAATACATCAAGTTGAACCTAGCCTTCATTTTTGAAATTTGAACACTCTCCATTATGTGGCCACTTTGCACTTATTAACTGACAGTCTAAGATTAAAGCCAGCTACTCAAATGGATTACAGTTTGGTACAAAAACAAAGTCCAGAATGATAAGATACCATACAAACAGAGAAGGTACGAAACAATGTATTGGAAGAACAAAGGGAGGTTATTTCTGAAAAAGACAGAAGGACAAATGGACACAAGGATTAGTTTGCACACAGAAGCAGCTTGTTCCAGTATACGGCTGACACTTAAGAGAAATGGCTTTCTCGTGATCTTTCCGCTGCCCAGAAAATATTTATCAATGTAACAGATAGCTAATATAGTCACATTGTCAAACACCACAACCAAGCCACTGCTGGAGGTGAGAGGGAGAATAGTCAAGATTGTTTTATATTATCACAAAGACAACATAAAAGACAAAATTTAATTTCAAAGCCCAGTTGTAATTTTCCCAGGCCATAGACAGAAGAAGCAAAGGGAAGCCCTGTCATTTGCTAGGTAGGTAGGAAGGGAGGGAGGAAACAGCAGCCAGAGAGATACAGTAACTTACTTTAAAGAAAACTAGCCAATTAACATGCAAAGTAGTAATAATTTTTAAAAAAATAAAAGTAAATATTGATAGATTGCCCTCATTCCTCAGACTCTCGATAAGGGCAAGAGCTTATCTGTGGCTTCGACAAGAATGGCGCTGACCAGAACAGGCTCACCAGAAACTGTGCACTACGATCAGTCACCATCTCCTCACCTGGATCGTCGCCTGTGTGGGGAACGTGAACGACTTCTCCTCCTGTCCCTTTCCCGAGACCTGGATCGCTCCCGTCGTCTTCTCTCACGTGAAGTTGATCGGGAACGCCGACGCTCTTAACAAAGAGAAGGATATGGAACGGTTGCTCCAGTTGCAATACACTGCTTGCATCTGAAAGCAGTTTGGCTGGTTTTCCTGCAGTAACACATCATACCCAGCAAGGAACTTCAAAACAACAAGGCATGGTTTTCAATTTTTCAATGTCATTCCCACAGGAAAAGTCTGGCCCACCATCTTTCACTCTCTCACTGATTTAAGGCTGAAAATTCTAATAACAACAATACAGTTCAATCAACTCTCCAAAGATTATGACACGAAGAAACCTGTTGAGTTCTTTCATTAAAATGCTTACATCTTTAGAGGCTGCTCAATAGTAAGAGAATGCCCCTCTTTCACTTAAATAAAAATAAAATTCATGGGGTTATAGGTAACTGATAGTGCCACTGAACAAATCAGCATTCACTTCACAACTTCCATTTATTCATCGGGTTCATCCAACTCAGACAATATTGGGTGTAGCCTGTGTCCTTGAACCTTAATAAAAAGGGGTGCATTACTTTCCTATTCAGCTGCCTATAAAAAATATAAATGTTTCTATGCAATAACTCAGTTGTGGTTTCTAAATGCTTTAATTTGGAGGGGGCCAATATCCTACGCTAACATTAATTAGAATGTTATCCTCTCCTTCCTCCTTGAAATATAAAGCAGCTTACCCCTTTCTCTTCCATATTGAGTTTTGGCTATAAAGTTAACCAATATACTCACAAAGGCTGAGCAGGGACAGGTTTTCTCTTTCACTTGGGAGTGTATCTGATGTATCTTTTTCTGCAACCTTTCTCCTCTAAAAAGCGAAAGAGAACAGACAACCTCCCCCCTCCCACCCCAATATCCTGTGCTCCTATGACCAGAAGGAAGGTATGGAGAGCCCTTCATGAAGAGAAAACGGGGAGATCGGCTTGGATTCCTGCCTGGAGCAGGGGGGTTGGACTCGACGGCCTTCCAGGCCCCTCCCGACTCCATCATCCTCGGATTCTGTTCACTCTCTCGACCCCACCCTTCTCCTAGGCCTGGTCCAACCACCTGCCCCTTTTTCCTTTTGCAAAGGACGGCTGTGAGGGGAAGTGGTGCGGGAGGGGGGGTTGGCACCATTGCTCACAACCCTGTGAGGTAGTCCAGCCCCGAGGCCTGCTTGGGGGGGGGGAGGGTGGAGAGGGAGGACATTATTTCGTAATAGGATTTTTTTTAAAAAAAGACACAAAAACGGTGGAAAGCCCTTCGTGGAGGCGGCAGGTCCTCCTTCCCCCCCCCCGGTGCTTCAAGAGGCCGGCCGTTGAAACCCCGCCCCCTGATATCGGGTTGGGAAAGGAGAAGGCGGGGAGGGGAGGGGGAGAGAGAGAGAGAGATCCAAGGGTGGGCCCTTCCTTCCTTCCTCCCGGGAGGGTGCAAGGGGGGCCTTCCCTGGGATACTGACCCCTCCGCGGAGGAGACCTGGAGCGGCTCCGACCCATCTCGCTCCCTTCACGGCAGCTCCGGAAGCGCCCAACGCCTCTTGTCGTTCGGACGCCGGGACTTCCGGGGTTGTGGTCCACTCCTTCTTCAGCTCCGGCTGGGAACACTCCCCCTAAGGCCGGTGGTTCCGGAGAGAGAGAGAGAGAGACGGCGTTCCTTTCCACTTCTATTCCGTTGCTCTCCTCTTTCGGGTCCGGGTGGGAACACTCTCCTAGCCGCCCGAGGTTCCGCCTCCCTTTCCGGCTCCGGGTAGAAACCCCTCTCCCCGATCTCGGGTTCTCCTTCTTTGAAGGGCAGGCTCGTAACCAATCCCTGGGCGGGGCGGAGCAAGGCCAGGGCCCGCCCCTCGCGGTGGGTGGTCGTCCCGGGCAGGCGGCTCCGGTTTTCCTGCCTGGTTGTTGAGGCAGAGGTTGGACCACTTCCTTTTGGGGCCTGTGTTGCACCTTTTTTTTGGGGGGGGGGGGAAGCCCTGCTTAAAGGCAGCGGGATTTTCCTCCAGGCAAAGGAGTTCTGCAGCCCAAGCTGGAGCATCTTGGCCCAAAAAGGAGCTTCAGCGAGACTCTCGTTAAATGCATTTTATCAGCGGCCTAGAAAGGCGCCGCCTATTCTTGCATTTGTTAAATGCATGGATTCTTTAGCCAAAAGCAGGTTTCCCCTCTTAGTTATTCTGCTGAAGCCCAATGCATGCCTACCTAGGCACAAATCTGAGCGCATTCAAAAGGAGCAGGCTTCCAGCATGCAGGCGGTGGGCGCACACACTGCTATTGAGCCATACAAATGTAGAGAAATGTGACAGCTTCAAACCCCTCTTAGTGTGACACACACCTGAAACATGTGAGTAGTGCAGAAAAATCATAAATGAACACCCCAAAATAACTGGCAAAGTTTCCCAGGCAAAATCTTCTTAAGGGGCGTTTAAAGCTGGTTACAGGCATGCTTTGCCCTGTGGCATCTACCTTGGCATTTCGTTGAATTAACGGCAAGATCATGCCTGTGCAATAGAAGTCAGAATGTTGTTGTTCCAGTGTATTTACTGCCCCTCAGGGCTAAAGTCGGTGGAAAAGACCCTGATGTTGGGAAAGTGCGAGAAGGCAAGAGGAGAAGGGGACGACAGAGGATGAGAGGGTTGGACCAACATGAATTTGACCCAACTCCGGGTGCGTTGGCATAATAAGGTGGTCAATCGGTCACACGGGCGGGTAATGCAGATAAAACAGGTTTTGGTGAGTCCCATCACAAACACAGGTAAGGTATAGCTCATCTGATCTGCTAGCGCTGCAGATCATGCAATTACAGTGCTTGGGGGAGAAGATCCACTGGGGCCGCTCCCGGACCAACAGTCAACAAGAGGAAGGGGACTTGAGGTCCAGGGGTGGTCAAATTTGGGCTGGCCGGGTTGTCGCTGTCTTCACAACTGCGAGATCTTGGGGCTTGGGACTTGCCCATAGTTTGGTAGTTGAGACCCCTCTGCAGAACCTCATTCCGCACTTCCGCAGGACCCCCCCTTTTTTCCATTGAGGATGAATATGGAATTTAAATAAAGTGTGGCCCATCTTTCAGTCCATAATAATTGTGTCTTATTCCGGGGTCAGGGGATAATGGGAGTTGTAATCCTGAAACAACTGGGCGGCTATAGTTTACCCATTCTGGCTCTCTAGTTGGTAAAAAAATAAGAGATAGGTTCATTCAAACAGGGAGGGGTATGAAGATGACAGGAGTTGGAGAAATTATAGGACTAAGGCCTAACCGTTTGGCCAAAGTCTTCACATTGCATAATATTAACCAGAGAAGTGTGCAGTTCATTTGTCATAAACACAGCAAACCAACATCTTAAGTCAACATCTTGTGCAAATGTTGAAAATAAATGTAGGCATACTTGGTTTCAGTTTTGTATTCCCGGCATTTGAGAGATGTTATCCACTACAGTATGTCTCTCAAATACAGTACCAGGAATACAAAACTGAAACTAAGCCATGACTACATTTATATGAGAGATGTTACCTACAGCAGTGGTTCTTAACCTTTGTTACTCGGATGTTTTTGAACTGCAACTGAAACTAAGCCATGACTACATTTATATGAGAGATGTTACCTACAGTATGTGGTTGGACAGTGTCATTGAAGCAACCAACATGACTTTGACCCAACTCCAGGAGGCCGTGGAAGACAGGAGGGCCTGGCGTGCTCTGGTCCATATGGGGTCACCAAGAGTCGGACACAACTTAACAACTAAACAACAACAACAGGGCTAAAGCACTCAGAATGAAGATGGCCAGGAGCAGCTACCTTAAGACAAAGAAAGGAATATGTAATGGAACCATAAAACTGACTTTGAGGATATGCACTAGACGGGGCTATACTATGTGTTCTTGGTTGGATGGGATAGAGTCCTGGACATGTACACAGGTATTAAACAGTTGGAAGCATATGAAACGTGGGTCTCATTAAGAGTGCCAACATTTTCTTGGATTCAGAGAATGATTAATAAAGAAGTACCAGAAGGCATGAATAAAGACGAGGAAAGCATAGAACATAAAACAGAGAAAGGTAGAATAGTTTTGGCCAGGTAATGAGAGAGCGAAGGTGTGGATTGTGAAATAAAGTGAATGGAAGAAAAAGTGCCAAAAGGTGAGGGGGGATACTTAAGATTGTAAAACAACATGATTATTTAGAGCTGTTACTTTCAGACACAAGAGTAGTCAAGGGAATATCCAGCCTCCAGGAGGAGAGAAACAAGGAAGTAACAGAATGATTCTCACCAAGGAGATGTGTAGGTATGTGTCCTACTTTTCTAAGAAGATAGCTGAGTGGTTTAGGTCTCTCGCTGTGGCACGTGAGGTTAGGGAGTTTGATTCCCCACTGGACTTCCCTGACGGGGGCTGGACTTGAGGATTCATTGGGTCCCTTCCACCTCTACAGTTCTGAGGTCATCTAAAATCCTAGTGCTTTCTCACCGAGGTATGTGTTCACAACCTGAGGTGCTCACCTTTGTTCACTTGGGACAAGGCCCAAATGTTCATCTATGGGGTTCCAGGCAACTATTGAGACCAACAGGCAAATCCGTCACTCCCCAGGATGGAAATCTAATTTGTGGGAGCAGGGTTTCCAGGTCTCAGGGCAGCAGCTGATACATCTCAGGGGACGCATATCCATCCAATATTGGAATTCCATCCCTGGTATCAATGAATGAATGAAGAACCTGTTCCAGAAGCAAACGATGGCTGTTATTTGGATAACTGAGTTTTGTGGATACCTTGCGACGGTTTATTAAAAACAGAGAGATTTCCTCAATGTTTTTGGTGTTCTGGTGAAAGTTTATTTGCATCTGTTATTTTCTGTGACTGGGGTTTTCATCCCCAAAGAGCAATCAAAAGAGACAAAAGCTTGTTAGGAAGTCTTGGATTCTGACACTTAGCGAGAACTCACCTGGGCGACACCTTTACAGCCCAGTGAGAGCAAACATCTCCTGGCGGAATGCAGTTGCTTTAAATGCCATTAGAGGAAGGAGAGGAGAAGCACACCACTGTCCTTGAGGTCGGGAGGAAGAGCACAGACAGTCACCTGCAAGGAGGGACATGCAGCATTAGCACACTGGCAAAGCGGCACCGTTGTGGAAGGGCTCAGCTGCTGATTCTCTTGAAGACGGTTCAGTATTCAAAGACTTAAAAACCAAAGTACGATACAAAAAAGGAAGATAGAAAAGTGCAAAGGAAAACAAACGAGCGAGGAAGAAAGTGTCAGTCTTAAATTGTTGAAAAAGTGGCAACATACAGAAACGAAAACAGGCTCCTGCGTAACAATGCACAGATTTAGGAACCTTATGTTTATGTGAGAACCTCAAAGGCAGACTTCACAATATCGATCGAAGACCAAACACAAGGAATTTATTTACAGTGGGCAACATTAAATAGCACTTCGAAGCAACGATTGTCAGACACAGACATGAAAACTTCAGCAGTCCAATGGAATCACAGAGCGTCCTTGGTTTCTGGCTGGTTTGGGCCAGATCTGTTCAATCTAGGGGTGGGGTGGGGGACGGATTAGAGAACTTCAGGTGCGTTGTGTCTCTTGTTTGGGCCAAATCCTGCTGCTCCATTACTCCCATGACCCTCTATCCCACTCCTTCTACTGTTCAAATTGTGTAAGACGCAATTTCACAATTAGGAGCTGACTGGGGCTTTTCCCTCCAGGTATGTAATTCCTTCCAAGCTCTGTGCCTACAGGATCAGGTCTGTAAATGACCCCCATGTTTACTTTCAGATGACGAAGCAAAAGCAAAAGCAAGCTGATTTTGCAACATGGCGAAATGAGGAAAGGTTGTGCTAGGACCCAAGCAGACATCTTAAACTTCCTTAGAGAGTTCTGCTTGGAATGATGTGCTAACTGTATTGTGTAGTTTAACCGTGAAAGAGCAGCGGGGGTGGGGGAGGGTGATCAGAGATGACACACGATCTAGGGTTTGCTGGTTTTGGTCCCTCATATAAACCTGTGGGCCCCAGGCCACCCATGACCCGGGCTATTTTTGATGTCTGCATGTCAAGTAGAGTTACGCTGCCTGTGGAACCTGGGAGTTGTAGTCCATATCACAAATGTGCACATCTCTGGTGCTCATGCTTGCTGAGACAGGCAGGCTAGGCAATACCCCAAGAATTGAGCAATGGAGCCTGAAGAGTGAAAACTGTCTGCTCAAAGGGGTGAAGCTGCCCTACCAAGTGAGAAAGAGAGATTCAATGACATTTCGAAACCGAAAATGGGTGAGGCCGTACAGAGGCTGATCTGTAGCTGTAAAATGAAAAACCCAGTTTCCAAAACCCAAATGCCTCCTTTAGGATCAACTGTAACAGGTAAACATTCACCCGCACATTTTCTGCACTTTCAGTTTTTCCTGATAAAGAGATTGCCAGCCCTCCCACCCCTCACCAACTATTGGTTTAAGAGTCTTCGTCTCTCTCTGTCAGCCAGCATCTCCCATCAATTTAGCAAATTCCCTGCAGCTTTTGCACTTTTTCCTTGCAGCTCCAGAATGTTGGCGCTCTTCTGAAATTCAGCCTCTTTTGTCTCCGTTTGTAAAGCTGCCGAGATCATGGGCTTGACCCCAGGCACTGCGTATCCTGCAGGTGTTCTTTGTGCCGTGAAAGGGGCTTAGGGCACAAGGGTACATCACCATGGAAATGGGAATAAAGTACGCCATTCCTAAACCATTTCTTTCAGCTCCTTACTGGGCACAATGCAAACGGCCGGTTGGTTTCAACCCTTGCAGTGTGCTGATCTCAAGGGACTGTTTTCCTTAAGACATCCTTCCCTTGGAGTTCTCTGGTCAACACTTTCTTGATTATGCCAGCTCCCCTTCAAATTTGTTCAGCAAGAGTTCAGAGAGCTGGAGAAAACCTCCAAAGAGGTTGTTGCTGGTTAGTTTAAAAAAAAAAAACACAAAAAAAAACGGAAAGGAAGGATCTCCCTGGGATTTGACTTCCAGGCTCCTGGCAGAGCCATTTTGTGGCTGGGTGGCTCATGGGCCAGGTGGAGGAAGGTCAAACCCCCCCCCCACAATGCACCCTTGCTCTGTCCTAAGTAACCTACAATGCCAGCTCCCCTTCAAATTTGTTCAGCAAGAGTTCAGAGAGCTGGAGAAAACCTCCAAAGAGGTTGTTGCTGGTTAGTTTAAAAAAAAAAAACACAAAAAAAAACGGAAAGGAAGTATCTCCCTGGGATTTGACTTCCAGGCTCCTGGCAGAGCCATTTTGTGCCTGTGTGGCTCATGGGCCAGGTGGAGGGAGGTCAACCCCCCCCCCTACAATGCACCCTTGCTCTGTCCTAAGCGACCTATGCATTTTATGGGTTGGAAGAAGGTGGTCCATGGATGAATGGACCCAAGTTTCTCAGTTTCAGTGCAAATAAGTCGGGAGCTAAGCCACCGCTTTAAAGCAGACGGGCTTTGTTATCTAGAAACGCTTGGCTGTACTTTTCTCATTATATATTTCTTGTGTGAAAAATCCTTGCATCTCAGCTCCCTAGGAAAAGAAGAACAGACCCATCTCATTTCTGATACCATTTCACCCTGAGGGGTGGGGGGAAACATCCCACTGTTGCTCCCAAGGGAATGAATACTCTGATCAGCTGCATAAGAACGACGATAATTACAGGGTTATTTCAGAATAATTACACATTTGCTTAGGCTTTGCCGGTTACATGGAATAAGTGCTTTTCAGAACAGAAGCATGCTTATAAATGAATAATTACTACGTTAATATCATGAAATTACAGAGGGAGGTCGGGAGTCTTTATTCCCCACTAACTGAAGTGATTCTCTTTAAAAATATTACAAAGTCTAAGAGAGAGAGAGAGAGACTTGGAGGGTCTCAGAGGCTGTTATTCTCAAATAAAGTGGGCACAGTTCACGTGGAATGTGTCCAGCACAAATCCGATCCTTTTTTCTTTTAAAAATTTCCCCAGGATCTGCCTGGGGAGTTCTCAAGGAGGGGGGAGAGTCAACAATGGGCAGAGCAATAGGCAATCTCTGTACAAGAGAAAGGGGGGGGTGTCTCTTCTGTTCACATCCGGTCGGTTGTGAATAAGTCGGGATGTGTTTAACTTTCACTGCCGAGCTCACGTTCCTTTTGAGTTTCCTGCTGCAACTCCCTACTAAGACTCCAGCCTGCCTTCCATCAGCTTTTGTGTTGTCATTTCCCTATACTGTGTTCAGAGCTTGGAAGGAATAAGTCAACAAATATTGTACTGGACAGTAATTAGTTATGGGGGGATGTAACAAGGATGTAATTAACTTGCATTTCAAAGGTTATATAATGAGCAGGAATTGAGTTATTTAATTGGTCTAGTGAGTAACATTTTCCTAGTTACCTTTTTAAAGTTACTTTCACACTTTGCTTTTTAAGAGCATGGTCAGAGGCATGCTTTTGGCACTGATTTATTTTTTTAATGTGTCATGCCATTATCTGATCAGTCCTACTTTTTTTGCCCCAGAGAGGCCACTTTCCTCAACCTCCTTTTAGCTTTTGACCTCCCGCTTCTGTCCAGGCACCTCCTTCAGCTCAACCAACAACTGCAGCCATCAGTCACAGCCACGAGATGAAAAGGAGCCTTTCTATTCGTGTGGGGCATGCCCCACAATTTGGGAAAGCGCTCTTACTCTGGGTGCCCTGCGACAGCCTACATCATCCTGAGAGAGTGATGGTGGAGAAGGAGGAAATAGTTGCCTGGGGTGCTCAAAGCTAGTCCATGTGCAACCAGCAGGTAAGGAATATCGATTTTGAATAGGTTTGGGGCAATTTGAACTGGGCCAAGAGATTTTGGGGGCAGGGCTTTCCAAAACAAGCCCTGGTCCGACTGATGGCAGAGGTACAAATTCTCTGTCTCAGGCAGTAACAAAAGGAAAACGAGGGTGCTGGAGCCCCCATTAAATTCACAGAACCATGGGAGGTGCTGTCATATATGGAGTCAGACCATGGATGTATCTGGCTCAGCAATATAATAAGTGAAAGCGTTACTGCCACTACAAAGTTAGCACAGATTGGCACCACCTTTACGTGCCCTATGGAATCCTGAGTAGAAACTTGACCAGAAGGCTCCGAGGCCATCAAATCCCAGAATTGCAGGGGAAGTTAGCACAGATTGGCACCACCTTTACGCACCCTATGGAACCCTGAGATGAGCAGAAACGTGACCAGAAGGCTCCGAGGCCATCATCCCCAGAATCGCAGGGCAGAGTCTGGAGTCCCGCGTCATCCTGCAATTGCTCAAGCTTCCCTCAGGGGACCATCCAGAACAGTGTCCATGTGCTATACCTGTGCCATACTCTGGTAGCATCTTCCAAGGGACGTAGGTGGCCTCGGTCCCTCTGCCCCAGCAACAGGGGGAGGAACGGGTGCTCTGGCACACCATCTCTGCTCTAGCCTATGCTCTTGAGATCCCATGCATGTTGAACTTCCCACCGGATTGTGACCCATACGAAAGATCAGTTGGTCGCCTGTCTGCACCGTTTAAAATGCCTGTCCTTGGATATATTCAAGATTACGTGGAAAAAAAGAACAAGAAGAGCATTTCAAAGCATTTGTTATGATTTTCATAGTACGAACAATAGCAAATGCATCAAGGCAGGGCAAGCAGGCACTCCCCGCCAGCGTCAGTGGGCAATGCTCAGCCTTCCCTAAGTAGACCTCCTGCATAAGCTGCCACGTGTACACAAGAACTAGGACTGAACACGATGAGCTGGTCAGCAGAAGCACCGGAAAAGCAGAAGGTGCCTCTTGGTTCTGCAGTGACTGAACTCCGGGGCGCCTCCGTTCGCTTACTCTTTGTTTTCAGCATCGCCGCCATTGGCAAGTTCTAAAATGATTCTCTCTCCTCCTTGGTCTCCCATGGAGAAAAAGAGGGAACTTGGTCCTTATCGCAAGAGGAGCGAGCCTTTTTATGTGAAGCACCAGGAGAACTTTTGAGGTACGCTGAGGAGGAGAACCCCTCTGAGAATAAGTCGGCAAAGAACCAGAGTGACTGTGAAACCACACACACACACACACACACACACACACACACACACACCCGAGTGTCCTAAGCATTACGTGCCGTGAGTGAGCAAACCCCTCTTCAGCTCCATGCCTGCCGTGCACAATCGCACACACACGCACACACACGAGGGAAGGGAATGAACGTAGCCTCTTTCCAGGCTCATATCCTAGATCCTTAGCTTTCAGTGCATGCACCTTCTGTCTTTGCTGACTGTCTACGGGGAGAAAGAGAGGTCTTAAGACCTGCTCCAGGGTCAACCACCCTGTCCATTTCAGTTTGCTTCGCTCAGGAGAGCCGTGCTGTGGATTGGGGCCAAAGAGATGCTCGCCCTACAGCCGATTGGGAAATAGGATCCCCTCCTTGTGTGCGCAAGGTCGTGCGGGACCGGGCTCCGGTGGCTCCAGTCCAGCATCCTGTTTCTAGACGTGGGTTGGCTGGGCCCATGGTGGGAGGCAGTTAAGGCAGCCGTCTCCTCCTGCTCCCTGCCTTCAACCTGTTTTTCACAGGAATCTCGTAAAAGGGAGGTTCTGCCACGGCCACGGCAGAGTTATCCTCTGAACTGCCTGCCCTGGTCCCTCACCCGCAAAGGTCACGAAGCCCTGCAGGCGGTGGGAGGGAATCCCACCATCCCATCAGCCACAGGGTGGAATAAGTGGCCCCGGTGGCCTGCCTTGAACCCTGGGCCCATCGAATTCCAGCCAGCCTCTGCCTGGTCAGGCGGCTCCCCTTCAGACCTCTTTCAGGCTGAGGAGAAACGTTGGGTCAGGAGACTTTTGGAACATTTATTGCATGGCGCGAGGCGAGCCTTCCTCCCTCAAGCGGGGACTTTTGCTTCCTAACTCAAAATTAGGATAATATCAGCAGTGAATTGTGGCATGTCATAGCACTCTGGAGTAAGGCATTGAATTGTACAAAAGGCAGTCTTGCCTACTAGTCATCCCCACCGCTGAGCCACAACAGGTGGCATGGCACAGCTTAAAAGGGTGTCTATTCTTTTTTAAAAAATCCTTCTCGCTTATTGTAGTGTGACAAAAGGACAGCTTTTACCAACGGGAAGTTTTTTTTTTCCTGGAACCAATGGCAGGCGTGTCACTCCCCCTTGACATGGATCGGGACCACTGTTGGGAATAAAGGGTTCATGCTAACCTTTCGTCCTCTCCCGGTCCTGCTCTGGACTGAGCCCTCCACTTTTTATGTATCTTTTTAAAAACACATTGCATGAATACCACCACATCTCGCTTGCTCGCTGGGCTAGTAAATGGCCAATGTTAGAAGAACAGGAGCTTGAAAGAAGTTACTTTTCTGGACTACAAGTCCCCAAATCCCTCAGCCAGCATAGACAATGCTGCCTGCAGGATTCGGGGACTTGTAGTCCAAAATAGTAACTTCCCCAAGCTTTGAGAATGGCATAAAGATATCTGTGATATACGTAACCCTAGTGGTCCTTTTTAAATTAAAAAAAGCTGCTTCCAGCAGGGTTCTTAAGATCAGAAAAAGAAGGGAAGGAGAGACATCTAAATCTTTCCCGTGACCTTAATTCTCCAGATCAATAAAGTGATAGCAAGCAGTTAGCACACTTTAGTGTTGGAGAAATGTGATTCAGGCTGTTGAGACTTGAAAGGCATCCTGTGCTCAAGTGGTGAATGTCAATTGTAAACCAGAGCAAGTTAATTTGTAAACAAAAGGAGGTGGGATAAACTCCTGCTGTACACTCAGAGGCTTTCAGGAGATAAGGAATTCCTTTGTTTCAGTGATAGGTTGTCTATAATGTCTGCCTAGGCCCTCAAATATGGGCATGTTTGGGCTTCCCAGAGTAAGTGTTAGAAGGATACCAAGCAGGAAAGCTAACCATGAGGGTAAGTGCAACATACTTTTCCTCATTTATTCAGACTACCTTGCCTTTCCAGAAGCAGCTCTTTCAGAGCAAAAGGGGGCCTTCCCGGTAGCGCTAATCCATGTGTAGCAATCTAGAAATTAATTCTGTAAGTTCCCTTTGGGTTGCAAGGGCGATGCCTTACGGTCACACAGCTTCTCTTATCAGCTCAGTAGCTGAGTGTTTGTGTTTCATGTGCCCCCGGCTGGCAAAGTGGCACTTAAGTGACCAAAGTCAAGTGGTATTTTAAATGCAGTGCAGGTGGAGGGCGGATGAATCCTGCTTTCCCCCACTTTGTCCACTGCCTCAGATGCCGCAGGCAGGCAGGCAGGCAGGCAGGCAGGCAGGCAGGGGCTCTTAAGTGCAGCTCCTCAGCAGTGACATGTGTGTGCGTGCGTGTGTCTGTCTGTCTGTCAAGGTCCCCCAGGGAAGGGGCTGCCGGAGATGCAGAGGCAGGCTGCTGGATTGCAAGCAGCAAAAGTGTAAACCAGCCTTTCCTCACCTGGCAACCGACCAGGTGTCTTGGACAACAATTCCCACCATCTCCAGGAACGATGAGAATTGTAGTCCAGCACAGCTGACAGGTGCCAATCTCCAGGCGGCCGACAGAAGCACGTCAGGGTCATCATGGATCCGTCTGGCTAAAGAGTGGCTACTCTCTCAGGCAACTGGACAGCCTTCCCCTTTTCGAGTAAGGGGTCTCCTCCTTACTCAAACCCCGGAGGATCCAGGCGTTGAACCCCAGGGCCAGACGCATGCAAAGCATAGGTTCAGCCCCCAAGAAAGCCTGCCAGGGCCAGGGGCACGAGAGAGGACGAGAGACTGGAGCAGGCTTTCGTTCCAGAATCAACACAGGTGATTCTGCAAGCGGGAGAGAGGATTCCGTGCATTGGTTCGGATCGTTACTCGGGTCGCCGCACGGCCAAGGAGCAGATCGCAGGATCCAGCGTGGGATGCTCTCCTGCTGAAAACCCAGGTCAAAGAACAGGAGGTACGCAAGGCGACATACCTGCGGCTGTGCGTTCACAGACACGCTTGTGTGGGCTGCTAAAAGAAGAACTCTGGAATAGATCAGGCCTCGGGGGTGACGCTCGTCCCTTCAGCCACCCTGGACGGTTCTCTCATCGGCCCCCTTTGGCACCACAGCAGGCCCCGTTTTGCCCAGAACCACCAAAGAAGGGGGCCGCTAGCTGGGGGCCAGCCTTGCAGTAAAACACTCCGCTCCCCCCCCCACAAAGACATTTAATTGTCCCATTGTGGTGACAGCAGGTACCTGGGCAGTCCTCTCACCAGACTCCTGCCCGAGGAAATCCACCGGCCGCCCTGGCTCTGAAGCAAGAGCCGCCTCGTGTTTCCGAAGCACAGAGCGATTTCCGCCAGGGCCGAAGGGCATCTGGGTGAACCAGCTTCAAAGACACGTCCAGGGCTCCCTTCGTGGGGACCCCCCCTCCTACTTCGGCAGGAGGTCCACACTCACCCTGGTGCGCCACCCTGTTTCCCAGCAGGGATCCCCCGTGCACCAGCCAGCAGCCCGTGGGAAGTTTCAAGCCACGGGACTCGGATGGCTCGGGATGAGCAAAGAAGAGGCGTTCAGAGTGGTCCAGCCAGCAGGCGTTCCCTCTGCCCGCCACGGGACGCAAACGTGCCCGGATAGCAATTTTTGAACTTGGCTCGGCAGAAACTTGGCTCGGCAGAAATGGGTGGGAGAGGAGGACGGTTTGTCTCGCAAATTCCCAGAAAGTGCTCCTCGTCTTTCTCCCGAAACGCCGGACGAGGGGGGCGGGTTCCCTGGGGGAAAAGGCACCCCAGGCCCTTCGGTCTCTCTCTGCCGACAACATGTCATCCCAGGACTGGCTGTCCTCAGGAGAAGCTGACCCCGGTTGATCCCGCGACTCTGCAGCAAGAAAAAGGAGTGGAAGGCGGGTGGAGGAGAGCGGAAGGGGGGCCAGAAGAGTGGGAGGAAGTGGCCGGGGGGTGGTGGCGGCGGTGGCGGCGGGCGAGGACCTCAGGACTCGGCCTTCTCTTTCTTTTTACTTTTCTTCAGGAAGGAGGGGGCCCGGAATTTCTTCTTCTTTTTGGAGGGGGACTTTGACGGCGAGCCCTCCGGGGAGACAGGCCCGCTGGTGACTGTCTCCGTTTTGTCCTTGGTGGCTTCGGGCTCCGCGTTGGTGGTCATCTGGCTGATCCCTTTGCTGAGAACGTCCTCGATGTTTTGATCGTCCTCTTTCCCGTTGACGACCACCGCCGCTTCGGGCTCTGCCTTCTCATCTGCGGGGGCCTCGGGACGGTCGGGGGCCTGGCCGCTGCCTGCCTTCTTCCCGCCTTTCCGGAAGGGTAGGGGGGTGGGGTGGGGGGAAAAGCAAATAAATAAGAGGATTGTATGCAAACATTTTGCTGAGGCTGGGTCTTGGATGTCATGGGGTTATGGTCAATTCCTCGAGGACCGGATGCCCGTGGAGGAGACCTGTGCCCTGAACGCTGCTCAGCCAGGAATCTATCTTGGGCCTAATGCATCTTCCAGGATTATTGGGAGAGAAAAGGGAGGCAAAGAAACCAGCTCCAGAAAGTTGTACCCCTCTGCTAAAGAAGCGACAGAGCCAGCCAGACTAAGTGGGTCATGCCTGCAAGCAGGTGAAGGAGAGGAGAATAGCCAACACACAGGGAATAAAAGGAACACCCATAAATAGTGGTGCTGGCCATTCAAGTTGGTGTTTTAAAAGCATTCTCTTCATGCCCCCCCCCCAAGCTGTAATCCTTACAGCCACTCTATATGGAGCAGGCTGGAGCAAAGGGAGGAGGGTTTGTCTAAAACAAGAGCTAGAAGAGGCAGCCGTTTGAGTCTCTGCGGCTAGCACGGCAGACCAAAACAAAAGAAAAATAAAAAAAGACAAAACCGTGGTGGGAACCTTAAAGACGGACCGCTATGTTTTAATGTGAGCTTCGGTGGACAAGTCCACTTCTTCAAACCTATTGCGTCTCAGTCTCATGTCTGAAGAAGTGGACTTGTCCATGAAAGCTCACATTAAAATATAGCGGTCCGTCTTTAAGGTGCCAGCCCATTTTCTGTATTCCCTCTTGTTTGTTTGTTGTTATTATTTTGTTTTGGTCTAAAAAGCAATGGTTCCCAGCCTTGGATCCCCCAATGCTCTTGGACCACAACTCCCAGAAATCCTGGCCAGCGCAGCAAGTGGTGAAGAAGGCTTCCGGGAGTTGTAGTCCAAGAACATCGGGGGACCCAAGGCTGGGAAGCACTGGTCCAAAGCAAGGCTAGGCAAAGTTCAGCCCCCCAGATATTGTTGGGCCTCCCCTCCCCTCCCCAGGGGCAGTGCAACAATATCTGGGGGTCTGCGCTTTGCTACCTCCCAGCCTAAAGCCACCTGTGAGTTCCCTCAGCTACCCCAGTTCTTCCTGAGATGATACTGAGTACTCTACAGTAAATATTCACAGCAAAGAACAAAACAAATAAACAAAAAACCCCAACAACAACAACAACACCAAACACCAAACACCTTGCAATATATTGGCAAGAAAGCAACACCAATAGGCAGCTGATGTAGAGATATTGTCCTGATGCACAGTGACAAGAGGCTCTTGGGGGCGCTCCATGCCAAGCTGGTCTGTCCATTCATTTCAATAAAGACTTAACAATTAATAGAACAGTAACGGACACCAACGTTGTGTAAAGAACCAAGCAGCTTCCCTGTGGCAAGGAGCCACTGGCGTGGGTTTCTCTTGATTTCTTTTGAAACAGCAAGAGAGCAGGATCAAAAACAAAACCTGGAAGCAAGGGCAAACAGGCCCATCCCTGTCATTCAGCCACTCGCTTCCCAGTCTCGGTAGAAAAAAGAACCGGAGACCGGGCCGGCCAACAGCGGCTGCCCAAGGGCCGATTCGTCCAGGCTCCCTCTCCTCTCCTCATCAAAAAACAACAAAGGGCATTGAATATGCATGAAGGAATGGCAGAACAAGGTGGTGGAGAATGTCCGTGAGCATCATAGGAGGTCAGAGGGGCCTGGCCACATGGAGGGGCTGAACCACGTCCAGCGAGCCTGTGAGAAAGTGGTACCTTATCAGCAATCCCAGGCTCTTCTTGGGCCACCCGGACGCCATCGGCTCCGGCACTTCTGGCGGACAGCATCCCATTCCTAACCTTGCTATCCTTTTATAGGGAAGACCCCAATTCTGTCATTTTTACATTTTTTGCATGCAAAGCGAAGGCTCTGCCCTAAACGAGAGCTCGGGAAAGGGTCTGGGTTTGGACGGCCAGGGTCCTGCGCTGGCTGGGTTAGGACTCTGGCCGATGGGAGCCCAGCCCTCTTCCATGCTCAGTGGACTCTCCCGCCATCATCCTGGCCGCTAGGCTCAGCTGGCGCCCGCCTCGTCCAGCACCACCAACCGGGAGCGAAGCTGGGCTGAAGGACTGCCCCTCCCTCCGTCCCCCAGGGCGAAGCAGAGAACAGAGAAAACAGCCTCTCTATACTTACTACAGTGACAAGTACTCAGAGGCACAGGTAACGTCTTGGTGGAAAGCCACACATGGAAAGAGAAAGGGAGACATGGTGGAGACAAGCATGCCAAACACGACGAGGCACAATGAGACAACGGAAAAGAAAAACCACACACAAGGACACACCCCACGGCCACCACCGTCACCACAACCCCCGTCGTGACCGGCTTGCTGGGGCCACCCTTCCCTCTCTCCCTCCCTCCCTAAGGGGCAAACAGCACCTCACAGCCCTCCCCTTGAGTAACAGCCCAACCCAGCCCTAGAGAAGGGTTGGAGAAGGAGCATAGAGGGGGGGGGAAGCAAGACTGGGTTTCCCCCCTTGACAGGTTGCTTAGATTGATCTGCTAGATAGACAGTTCAGATGCCAGTCTTCACTCAGCCTCCTCCTCAGAAGGAGGAGGGATCCTTTTGCCCCAGGAGAGGGTGAGGTGTTTTTGTGGCGCTCCCAACAAAAAGACGACAAGAAATGAAAAAAAGCTCCCCCCCATTGTGCAAGTTAAGTAAATTTGCACAAATAAAGCAATAAAGCACATCAATACACATGGCACAGGATGGCAATGGCTGCATGAGCTTCTCCGGAGCAGGAGGGTCCACGGAGGGGGGGGGGCTTTGCCATTTTCGTAAACAGGGAGCCTGTCTCACTCTTCGTTTGCTGGGGGTGCTTTGTTTCCGAAAGGAAAAGGGCGCTAGATTTGCACAAGGACTGCTTGCACCAATCCTGGAGATCTGGATGAACGGATGTTGCGCAGTCCGTGTCTTGCTCCTGCCTGCAAGCAGAATCTCACAGAACCTGAACATTCCCCATCCGGGCACTTCCTGAGGTTCCTCTCACCTGTCCTTCGGTTTCCAACACAGCACGGCCACGGGTCCCAAAGGAAGCGTAGAGGGCAGCCTGCTGTGCTTTGCCCACTGCCTCTGATGGTCCCTGGACCTCGCACGGAGCGGTCACGACCCCAATCCAGGAGCAGACCCCCACCCTTGTATCCTCCCCCTTCCACGAATATTCACTTCCATGAATTTTTCCAACTCCCCTCTAAAAGCCATGCTCCCCTTGCAGGGCTGTGCGCTCCCTGTCTTTGCTGCGCCCTGACCCACCCCTGGGATACCCGGGGCTTCGGTCAAGGCCTGCCTTTTACCTTCCAAAGACTTGGCAGGCGACCTGGGTGGGCTTTTCAGGCTAGGCTTTGTGGGGCTCTCTTCGGCGGGGGAAACGGTCGGTTCTCTAGGGGATGTTATCTCTTCCTCCAAGCCAGAGTCCTTCTCGCCTATGGTGGAGCGTTCGTAAGGAAACAAAGAAAAGAGGAGAAGGTGCCACTTACGAGCAGTGGAATAATACAAAAGGAAAGCCCCTGATGGATGGCTGTAAAGGCATCCGCAGAGACCGTACGGCTTTCTTGTGTTATTCGTCTTCCATGTTTCATTTCCATCCCACCTTTCATAAAAAGACGCCTCTCTCTTCCCACCTGTTTTATCTACCTGGCAACCCTGTGAGGTCGTTCAGACCGAGGGCAGGGGACTAGCCTCACAGAATCTCAGGGTGGGGTGGGCAGTGGGACCCACACTTCCTGATCCTCTTGGACCCCGTGTGCAAAACGGGAGGTCTCTTCCAAGATGTCTGCTCCAAAATGCACAAATGAGCCCAACATGCCCAACTCTAACTGTGGGTGTAAAAGGGATTAAAGACCAGAAATGGGTCATCTCCCCCACCCCACATCTCCCCCACTCAGAGGCAGCTGTTCCACAGTGCAGCTCCTCGGCCGGTTCAAGCCCGCCTTTGTATCCGTCAGACCAAGAAATAATTGGGAGGCAGGCATTGCCATGAGAATCCGGGTCGGGCCGATCCTCGGACTTGCTCTGCCCCATTTTGTTGCAAGAGTGGGAGGGGTCCCCGTTGGGGGGGGGGCTGGCCTGGTTCCTTTTGCCTGCCTGGCCCCTGATGCCCAAAGGCAGGAGACCTTGCGCCGTGCAGGTGCGGAAGTGGGGGGAGCTTCCCTGCCCCCTTTCTCAGCAGGACGCGTGGGATCATCGCAGGAGAGCCGGGCGGCGATTGCGCCCACGGCGGAGGAGGGGAGCCCAGCTGGGCTCGTGAGGCTCACTCGCCCCGGAGGGTTTCGAGCTTGGCTGGGGAGCTTCCCTGCTCTGGAGCCACTTGCTGGCTGCTAGGACGTGGCTCCTGACTTGACCGCAGCTGCAACGCCACTCCTGGTCCCATCGTGCTGCGCCTTCAGCTTCCCGGGCTACTCCTGTCTCTCTCCTGCTTAGAGCCTCACCCTCTGAGACTAGCTATTCTGAGGCGGCAGAGGGGTTGCCTGTAGGGCGGCAGGCTGTGGGTGGCCCGTCCGATGTGACCCGAAAGGGACTGGAGCTCTTCCGCATCCCTCAAGGCACAAAGCCACCCCGACCCCAAAGATTTACCATCCAGGCCCAGCTTCTTTCTCTCGACCTCTTTCTTGTACTCCTCCAGTTCCTGGTCGGTGAGCCGGCTGAAGGGGTTCGGGGGTTCTGGTTCAGGAGGAACGTCTTGGCGGGAGTCGTCTCTCATCTCTCCGTCTGCCAAGTTACTGTCCGTGGACTGCGTTGTGGGACAAAACAAGCATTTGGTCATTAGGACAAGCAGATGGCCGAAGGAACCAAAGCAACTTGGGGTCACGAACCAGGACTTGGGCTTCATTTCTATTCCGCCCTTACTCCCTGCAGCGTAGGTGGGTTGAGCCGTCCCTATGCCTGCTCCCCACAACAAGTCTGTCAGGTAGGGATGGTGCCTCATTCTAGGCTAAGGGCCGCCAAGGCTTTGGATCCCAGCCTTCCCGGGTCTGAGTCCGATGCTCCATCTGCTACACTGCACTGCCTCTGGATTATACCCCCCCCTGAGTCCTGTCATGAAAAGTACCGGGCTTCTGCTTTTCTCGGCAATCACGCTGGCGAGCAGCTGGGACTGGGGTCCGGCGGATTTCACCTCCTGGCGATTTTGTTCTCGGATCTGCACGTTGAAATGAAAGGAGGAAAAAAAAAGTTCCTTGGTCTGTGGGAATGAGGGGGTCCCCTTCCAAAGAATCCGCCTGATCTGAAACTGATTGGTGCCAGTTAAGGGGAGCGATTAAGTCACAATAACCCAGTAAGTTCGGCTGAGAGATACCAACCAGCCCAACACATTCGGCCAGCGCCATAGTTAACTGGGAATTCCAAAATGAGACTCTGTGCTCCTAGTTCATCACAGCAGGACCCCCTATCCATGGGACCACTATCCTCTGATTCACTTACTGGCTGCCTGGAAGACACTAAATTAAAAACACCCAGAAATACTTACAGTATATACATTTCCAGGGTGTATTTACCAGACCTGACCACTAGAAGGAGCCAGAGACCACACAATGTATAAGTGTTCAATACTTCCATGTTTTCCAGCATGAATGGAGTGGGGGGTTTGGAATAAATACCTTTCAGATACTGTGGCCCTATTGCATTCACACAAATACATCACCCTAGGTGGCACCCCTAGATTGTAGCTCATTTTGGTGGTGGTGAATTAAGGAATTCCGAGCCGTTTCAGCCCATCCCATTTCCCGGGCGTCTTTCTGAGCCCAGTGAGCTGCTGCAGCATTCCTCGAAAATCTATTGCTGGCACCGGCATCTCCTCCAGAAATGGAGACTTTCTGAATTACGACTCGGGACAAGGGGTGGTTGAGAATCCAACCAGGTAATGAGATGCTCCTGCACCTTGTTCCTCATTTCCAGGACTTCTTGTGGGTCCGTATACAGAGGCACAAATTGGTTTGGGTTTTCAATTCGGATTGGTGTCCCGCTACTAGACTTCTCCACGTCATCTGCTTTCATCCACTGGGTGGGCATGAAAAGGAAAAAGAAAAGAAAAAAACAAACCACAGAGAACCGTAAGAATTATGAACCGCCCAGGTCGTTTGCACTAATGGGACGGTATAAAATTTTTAAAAACAAACAAGCAAGCTGATAAATACATAAGCGAGTTCCCATTGGGGATAGACCAAAGGATGAGGAGCAGGCTGGGGGTTCAGGGTTCTGGGAAATGTGCTGGAGCCCGGGGGGAGATCCTGCTGAGGAAATGCCCACAGAGTATTCTGGGAACTGCTCTCAGCTAGAGACCACCTAAGGCAGCCCCCCCCCAGCTGTTTCTGCAGCTCTGGGAGTTACAGCCACTCCTGGCTGAGTTTGGGGTCATGGCAGTGCACAGCCGGCAAAAAGAATCATCTGGAGGTAAAACAAGATGCTTGAGGGGCACAGGGCACTTCCCTTGGTACGAGCGAGCATTTTGGAAAACTCCCTGTGAAGCGCAGCCACTCCCCCCACCACCACCACCCCCGCCACCCACTTACGGTGGTTTTTGTCCTCTGGCTGCCTGCACTCCCTTGGCTTTCCTCCGCCACGTTCACCCGTAAGTAGGTGTTTGGGGTGTTGAGCCAACGCGTCTTTTCCTTCTGCTGCTTCTGGGCATGTTGCCGGAGGGTGGAGATGGGAGCCGCCTCTTCTTCAAAGAGGAAGGCCGTGACCGTGGCCGGAATCTCCACTTCGCTCTTGTGCTTGGTTTTCTCCTGAACAAACGGGTGGCGGTAGGCATAGCCGGTCCGGTAGCCCTGGGAAGGACAAGGGGGCACTCCGTCACTGCATGTCCACGTGCCTGCCCAGAGGTTAAAACCTGCCTATCCTCATGGCTGTTCCCTTCACACCAGTCCCACCCCAAAAATCCATTCTCTAAAAAGGCATGGGAAGTTCTGAAAACCCGACCGAAAACAAACTTCTCCAAGGCAGCTGTGAGTGCCTCCTAAAGGGTCCCCTGGCCTCTGGGGAGGTCCATTTTAAAACAGACATTGCTTAGAACTGTGTTTCCCAACAAGGGGTCCTGATCCCCAAGGGGGTGATGGGTTTCCCTATATGCATTGTAGTCCTTGTTAAATAATTTCACCTTTGATCTTTTTTGGGGTGGCGATGTTACAGCTAGCATGTATGAGAAACAGATCCTTTAGAGGAGAAAGAAGTCTCTGCTTTCTGAGAAGGGATGACTTAACCTCCATTAAAAATGCCTTTTTATGCAAATGTGGTGTGGGGGTCGCAGGCTGCCTAGCTATTATAAAAGAAGAGCTGTGATTCAAAAAAGGTTGGGAACCACTGGCTTAGAGACGGCTCCATTCCTTTATCCTTAAGATCACCCAAGAGTGCCCTGTTAATACATCTATTTACATCTTCACTTTTGAATTGTGACCCTTGGCTGGACTGGGCTTGTCCCAGAGGGAAATACTTAATCCCCCCCCCTTTTTTTAAATGACGAAGGAAGGCAGAGGAGGTTGGTGAGTCTGTCATTGCTGGAAAAGTGAATCCATCTCAGTGTTTCATCCGAACTTTACAAGACCCATTCAAGGTGCCAAATTCTGTTGTCAAAATAGCGCCAGCACTTCCAATTCTTGACTGAACTTTAAAGGAGCTAGCCATGGTGCTGAACCTCTTTGGAGAATATGCGCCAGCACCTTGGATAGCTCCTGAGAAGAAAGTTCAGACACGTGTGGACCAGATTCATTGTGCCTACATCCAATGCTCAATTCCCTCCCCTCTGTCACACAGGGAAGCACGCCAGAGGTCCAGAAAAGGAGGCATCAACCATTTAGGAAACCAGCAAGTAGGGATTTCCCCTTGAACACGTACAAGGTTGTCCAGCATCCGCATCAGGGCTTCAAATTCATGTTCCCCCAGACGGCTCTTCTGCATGGGTCCAAAAGTGCTGCCGGCCCATCGCACAGAGCCAACGTCAAAGGGTCTGTGTTTCTCTCGCTCCAGCACAATCAGATTTTCTGCTCCACCAACACTAGACAAGGCTGAGATCTAGAAGAAACAGACCACAAGAAGACAGTTACAGGACAAAGGTGAAAATTCATGGCGTGTCTTGGGTCACCCACACTCTTGTCCTTTGGGCATCGTTGGAGGCAGGCGTATAACACAATAGGGAGGCACAGAATCTTTCCGTTTCTTTGGGCATAATCTCTGCTCCCATTGTTTTCAGGATTTCGTCATGCTTCAGAAGCTTGACTGGCCACTCAAGGAAGCTGGGCATCTACCTTGGGATCAAACTCCTAGCGTAGCCTTGGTGTCAGTATCACAATGGGAGATTCTGCCAGAAGAAGAGCCAGCCTGGGTGGCCTTGGGCAAGCTGCAGACTCCCAGGATGCTTCCAGAAGAAGGAACTGGTAAACCACCTCTGGGTATTCTCTGCCTGGAAAACCCTGAAAAGGGTCCCCATAAGTCACAGCTCAGAGGTTTCTGATTAGGTGGTTTCTGGTTAGGAGTTCAATTCCCCTCCTTGACAGGGGTTGGACCCGATGATCCTTTCCAGCTCTGCACTTTTAAGAGGATGATTATGTGAAACATCCAAATAAGGATTCAGTCATTGAGCTGCCTGGATAGCTCAGTGGTTTAAGTGTCTGGGAGTTGGATCCCCCCCCTCCTCCAAATCCAGTCTTTGACAGGGACTGGACTCAATGGCCCATAGAGTCCCTTCCAGTTCTGCAGTTCTAATAATGCTGAAGAATCCTGTATTGTTAGCTCTTCACCTGCAGAGGGCAAGCGTGTTGCCCCCCCCCCACAAAGCGGCTGACCTAGTTTTTTCCAGCTGAAGAAGTAGGCTGACGCACAGAGGGGCCGACACAGTCGCACACCCGGAAGGGGCGGCCACTGGGGCCCAGATTCACAGCTCCCTGCCCACCACGCCTGGTGCTGAGGCTCTTGGCTGCTCCCAAGTGTGGGCAATGTGAAAAGAGGGAGCGGGGGGGGGACTCCCCAGCTCTACAAGAAACAAAGGGGGATGATGAGCAGGGCTTTTTTGTCTCAAGAACTGGTGAAGCTTCTCCTTCTTACAAAGGCTGAAAGCCAGGAGCCAGGTGGGAGGAAAGGTCTGAGCTTATTGGTTTATTTTATGTTATTTTCCTATATTTCTATTCCAACAGAAGTCCCCCACTTTCACGCACATCCTCATCCTCATCCTCATAATGACACACGCTCCCACATTTAGCCTCGTGAGTCGATTGGCCTGTGCCGATGGAGACACGTTGATGAGAAGAGAGATCCTTCTCTTGCTGGTCTCCGTCATTCTTCCGCCTCCCTCCCAGGCCCGGCTCGGAGGAGAAAGGCTAAAAGCCAACCCTCTTCTGGAAGCTGCAGCTAGAGATGCAAATCGTAACCCAGTTTGTCCCCGCTAAAGGAGAAAGTGCAAAACTGTTTCTCTTTGCAATAAGAGAGAAAGTTTGTCTTTTCCTCTTAAAACTAATTTGTGCATTTGGAAGGCTCTCATTTTAAAACCCACCTTTTTTCAAACTCACGCTTGCTTAAAACAAGAAGGACTTCCTCCTTGACACACAGGACTTTTAAAAACTGGGAGCATCGGATGTGGTGTTCGGCTCTTAGCGAGCAATCAGCTTTCCATTTTGTGCTTGCTGGGTGTATGCGTGATTAGCTTCAGAATAGACAAAGATGGTAATTTTTTTAAAAATGCAAATTGTGCAGATCAGGATGGAAAAAGAAAACACCACTCGGTTCTTTGGCTGTTGTGCTGGAGGCAAGAACTGATGCTAAAATAAACCCTCAGCAGGCTGTCTTGCTATGTCAAGACGGTTTCTCTTCATGACAAGCAAGACTCTGGCAAGGTTTCTTCTCCCTTTAGCAGGGGCTGCCGGCTTCTTCCAGCTTGGGAGCCTCCCTCCCTCCCCACCAAACAAATGGGCCACAAGTGGAATGAACTTTTTTACAGTCATGTGTCTTATCGCTACCTGGCTTCTGCCTCGTTCATCAGCTAAGCGGTCCAACCCAGCATCATGGCTTCTGCTAGCTAAGCTGCTATGGCTCGCATTTTCCAAACAATGCAGCTAGTCAGCACAATTCCTGGGCTACATGGTGCTCATCCCTGGTGAGGTTCTAGGCAATCTCCTCCAGAAACATATAAATCTAGTTCATTATTGATTTCATTTATATACCACCCCATTAGTGCATGGCACTCTTCTGGGCAGTGAACAGTGTGATAAAATCAGGGAAACCTAGCAAAAAACAAAATTGAGATAATGCAGTCATCAAAATCATAAAAGCAGCATTCAACAGAAGCTGATTACTGGCAACCAGGATGGCTAAAGAATATGGAAAGATGCTGCCCTCAACTGTTCCGTTAGTGTACCGGTTTTGCTGGAGTTGAGAAAACTATGTTTCTAAGCAGTTCTGCAATTTCTGAGTTTGGGAATCCTGCAAAATCACCGTCTCACCTGGCAAAGGATGAAATGTGTTGGAAAGAAGTGCACAGAGCACTGCCGATGAGACTGAACAGTGACTGGCCTCCCCCTGCGCTGACTTGTTGGAGACGCCGTGTGGCCCCAGCAGAGGGCACTGGGTGGCCACGGCAGCTATCGCCCGCCCTTCGGCCTGCCTCAAAGCCTCTGGCTCCAGAGTTTGCCGCCTGAAAGACTCTCCCAACAACCGAAGCCTATGCTTTGCTATCAGCTTCAAGCAAGAAATGACACAGTATTTGGTGGGAGCTCTCTAGTAAGCCAATTGGGAGCTGTATCACGGACTGGAGGGGGATATCAGCATTTGGTGAGTAGAAAAGAATCAGTCTGATGTGGTGAGCAGAGCTCGGCAGACCTGGGTTCAAATTCCTACTCAGTCATATAAGGCACCAGAACAGCCACATTTTCTGACCCTGATCTGCCTCAGAGGGTTTCCATTGTGTGGAGGATTCCTGGAGAGGAGGGAGCTCACGCCTGTTGCCTTAAGCTTGTTGTAAGAAAGCTGGGATAGAAATGTAATTAATTGCTATTCAGAAGGTGATGTTGTTTCAGTAGTGCAGGCAAGAAAGAGGACTGAGGGGTGATAACTTTGCTGAGTTCAGTAACAGGCATAGCAGAAGCATTGACTTACCAGTCAGCAATTGATCCCAGGGAGCTATCCATGGTGCTGACCAACTGAGGTTTTACTCTAGCTGGCAGGGGCAACTGGACTTTGCCTGACGTATTGCAGTTAGAAGCAAGCAAGCATGTGTATCTCTCTCTCTCTCTCTCTCTCTCTCTCTCTCTCTCTCTCTGTGTGTGTGTGTGTGTGTGTGTGTGTCTTGCTCTGTTGCTCACCTGTACTTCACAGGCAGCCTGCAGATGGAAGATCTTGTAGAAGGCTTCTTCCACTGTGTCTCCCAGAGCCACCAGCCCGTGATTCCTCAGTACAAGAACCTACCAAGAGAAACAGCAAGAACAGAAGGCCAGTAATCTTGGCAAAACACTAATGACAGCAAGTTCTTCTCAGTTCTGGATTATTTAAGGATTTCCAAATGTTGGCTAAGACCCCACCCAAAGGTCTAAATCTCGAGGCTAGTCCTGGTTGTATGTTGCCCGAAAGACTACACAAGACCATCAAAGAGGATGCCAAAGCTTTTATAATACCCTTTCTCAATCCTAACCTTGCAGGTAGGTCCAAGACACTTCTGCAGCTCAATTCTGTCCGCTTCTTCCTCCATTTCGCCATTGTAGTCAAAATACACCATATCCCCTGCCAGGAGGGCATCATGAGAAATCAGCAAGAGGCCATATTTCATTGCTGATACCTTGGAAGAAAGAGAGCGAGAACGAGATAATTTGAGAGAGAGGACTTCAGGACTCAAAGCTTAGCTTATTCATCTTGTGTCGGTATGTCGATTGTGCCTCCTGACCTTTCCAAGGCCAACGGGCAGGAGATTGTCTCAAAGGATGTCTCTATTTAAACTTTTGTTACAGCGTCATGGAGTCTAGAGCTGAAGACTCTGGACCACTTGTCCATGATCCCTGACACCTCTTCCCAACACCTTGTTTTGCTCTGCTCCCTCCTCTTCCTCTTCCTCTCCCTTCTCCTTCACCACCACCACTACCATGCCTGAGAGGGGTGGTGAGGCCAGAAGGCCCCCATTCAGCTCTGCTTCTGTTTTCATGCTCTTCTCTGGACCAGCCACAGGGCGAGTCCCGATGGCTGCCTGACATTTCTTATTGCTTTGTCAGAGAGACGGAAGGCACTCCTTACTGCGGCAGTGGCTGGCGTGTGCAGATGGATGATGCACCGCACATCCGGTCGAGCTGCATAGATGGCCGAGTGCAGGCTGAATGCCTGTGTGTCTACTGGGAAGCTGGTACTGCCTTGTTCCACCACTTCCCCCAGGATGTTCACTTTGATCTGCCAAGAAAGAGGATGCAGGCAATATAGGAAGGCAGAGGGCAAGAAGCGGAGGATTGTTTGTTTGTTTACACAAAGGACATCTGAGCCATGTGTTTAAGGTGATGCGTTGTTTGTTTGTTTGTTTGTTTACACAAAAGACATCTGAGCCATGTGTTTAAGGTGATGGTGGGCCTCCCTGAAAAGCAGTGTTGTAAGTTGCATCCTAAACATTAACAGGGAGGGAACCCAGAGCTGGTTCCCCCACGTCGGTGCCACCACAAAGAAGGCCCTGCCTCTTTTGCATGGCTTTGGGGCTTCCCTCAGGGCAGCTTTGTGGAGGAGCCTAGCCTGGGAGGATCTGGTGGGACGGGCAGAGGGCATTGGGGAGAGATGCTCTGAGAAGTGACATGGACACAAACTGTAACACACACACACACACAGAGAGAGAGGGGGGGGAGAGAGAGAGAGAGGGGAGTCTGTTTGATGCATCTCTGCATGAGCCGGTGCTTTAAGCTTCCATGCCAGTCACCTCTGTGGTTCACTGAGTGATTCCTTCCCATTCGTCATGCACATCTGGAGAAAGAGTCTCCTGGCAGGACATGGGCTCGTGTAGCTTAGAATGTGCCACTTCACCCTGAGAAGTGCATACCATCGTCCTTGCTATTTTGGTGTGAAAACACCCCAACCCTCCAAGATGCAAATTTGCAGTTGTGGAAAGAGAGAGATGGGGAATCAAATTGTTCTGAATACTCACCAAGCTGGAAGCCGTGACTTCTTGGCATGCAAGGCCGAACGGACACACCAGGAAGTGGTCTTGCTCTTTGCTCACCCGCAGCTAGGAAAGAGGGGGGGAGCGTACAGAGTGATTTTATGGCCCCGTTTGCTTTCAGGGGATCCCAGAGTACTTTGGTCCCTAAAAAGACATGCTGGCGGATCAGACCAAAGAGTCATCTAGCCCATCATCCTGTTCCCACCAGTGGTAAATCACAGGTAGCCCAGCTGCAGGACCTGAGGGCACCACACCCTCTGACTCAGTTTCCCCATTGACTACAGTACAGCAAGTGATGTATAGCCATTGTTCCCCCTCTCATGTCCATGGCCAATGGGCCATGAAGGCCAGAAGTACATAGGGTACCACACGTGTGGTGGACGCCACAGGAGGCCCATGGCTGATGCAGGGAGGAGCATCCCTCAGAATTTTGCGAATGAAGCCACCTGTGCTCTGTCCACGGGTGGCCTCTGGCTGCCACCAAAACCAAGGAGAGAGAAACAGGCAAAAAGGGGCTCTTTCCCCTCCAGGACAAGCACTTCAGGAAGAAGGTCCCAACAGGGGTCATCTAGAGACAGTTTGGTCTGTCTCCAGTCTGAGGGAAGAAGGCCATCATCTCTCCTTCATCAGAACAGAGGATTCAACCCAGATCAGGAGACTCACTGAAGTCAATGAGCCACAGGAGCCAGGGCTGACTGGAGGCCCAAGGGTTTCAATGGGGTCCTTCCAAGAAGAACCATGCCTGGATCTGACCCTCTCATTTCATCTCCTCTTTTGGTGCAGAAGCTGACCAAACAGGCTGTCGCCTGGGAGCAAAGGCAAGGCAAGGGACTTCTGTTTTCACATGGGACAGGGTATTAATACAATGCACACACAACATCATATATCACACCGTTCACATGGGACAGGGTATTAATACAATGCATACACAACATCATATATCACACCATATCACATCACATCACATCACATCATATCATATCATCAGCTTCTCTCACTTGCAAAGAAAAGTCTCTGTGTTATTGTTCTTCTAAAACATGTTATAGTTGGTATAAAACATGTTAATACCTTCTATGTGAATAAGCATATCAATGCTGTCTCATTTCTGGGGCTGCAGCCACTTCAGAATTACCCATGAAAGCAATTCCCACCACCCCACATATCTAGCCACAGGCTGCCCAGAGGCTGACAGGAGTTTGCGCCTTTAGCATCATCAGATTTCCAAATAGCAGTTGTGTGCCTTGAGCTAGAACACAACAGCAAGGAAAGCTGACAGAGTCCAGTCTTATCCTGGCCTGGCACCAACATGTGTGTGTATGTGTGTGTGTGGTTAATGAAGCAAAGGGGGTTTCTCACCGTGACGGAGGTGCTGCTGAGTTGAGACCAGCCGTAGAGGTCCAGCAGCCGGTAGACGCTGCCCATCTTGCAACGCATGAGCCGCTCCCCTTTGGCTAAGGTGGTCGAGTCCGTGCTGTAGAGGTCGTTGATAGGTGTCACCGTGGATAAATCTGAAGGAGAGAGAGAGAGACAGACAGACAGAGAGAGAATGGTCAGCAAGGGGTCTCCTGACCCGCCCAACCCCACCAGAAATAGCAAGACAGGGTGAGTCACGAAGCCAACCTGCTTGCTCTCAGCTGTTGTTCTAGAAAGGCAGTCCCTGATTCAGGCCACATGAATTCCCAGTAGTCCCAAATCCCCACCACCACCACTGCATCCAAAATTGCAAATGGCATGCTCCAGAGCCCTTGAGGCCTTAGCCCTAGGAACATGATCCTGCCCTTCCCTTTCCCCTGATGTTCCTCCATCCTGCCCAATGGAAGTCAGGTTTCAACAATAAGAGCCGTGAGACAGAAGGAGGAGACCAGGGACCTCCCAGTGGCCCATCCACACTGCAGTGAGAGGAGAGGAGGAGAAAGGAATCAGGGCAGGGCAGGGCAGGGCAGGGGGAAAGGACGGGAGGACCCGCTCCAGGGCCAGCGCCTCCCTTGAGGGGTGGTCAACGTACTCAAGGGCGACGTGGGGAAGGCGGAGGGTGCGGTGGTGGCCATAAAGTCTGCGATCTGGCGAAGGGCCCAGATGTTGGAGTTGTTCCCTTTCTTCATCTGCTCTTGGATCAGGCTCTCCAGCTCCTCCCTGAAAGACTGAAAACACCACAGAGACCCTGAACCATCCAGGCTTCCGGGCAGAGCATTCCCACTGAGAACTGGGTGGGGCTGGGGAAGGACCTTACGGACGGATGGGGATCCTGCTGGGGCCATGAGGGCCAGCGGCTTAGGAACAAAAGGGAGGGAACAGGCTGTTGAATGGGAGGGTTGGGGATTTCCAAATGGTGTTTGGGCGAATTCTGTATGCAGGCCGGAGGCTTGCTTGCGTCCACCTGTGGGAGCTGCCTTCTTGGTGAGAAGACCACGCAAGACCAGGACATGGCAGCCCCACTTGGGCATGAGAGAGATTCCATATTACGAGTGGGCAGAGGTGGTCACTGTGGAACCGAGTCTGGGGTTTCACCAGAACATTGGAGGTGATCGCAACCGGCGCCAGGAGCAAATCACACGGAGGCAAATGGCCGCTCTTTCGAAGGATAACCCCCAAGAATTCGCTTATGCCAGCTGGAATAGAGCTCCAGCTGAGAAAATAAGTAACTCTTCCCTTCCTTAGCAAAATGTTGCCAGTAGTGCCTGCCAGAGTCAATTATCCTTTCAGAAGACTGGGGTTCAGGGCAGTTTACAATTCAATAAGGCATAAGATTCCAAACAGAGGAGGTCATAACATCAAAGCATAATTAAGCAGACCATCGTATTAAAAACAGGTTGCCAAGCTTTCCAGCAGTTGAAAACGTATCAGGGCAAACCAGAGGAGCGCGTGCTCCCCCATGCCGACCTTAGAAGCCCCTTTCCCAGCAGGCTGTCCATTCCCAGAAGCCTCCTTGGATAAAATGGAGAGCCTGGAGGGGGCCGGTCGAACATCCCTTAGAAAAGGGGGTCCGAGATCCCAGGAGCAGCTGCCATGGAGGGCCCCCTCGGGTGAGAACGAGGGGTGCCTGCTGTGCCCACAGAGCTGAGAACGGAGCCTAGGTCCTGAAGGATGCAGCCCTTGCGCCATCAAGCCACATGGGTCCAAGGACGGCGCTCCCGCCAGCCAAGTGCCTTCAGGGAATTCCCCGGTCCAGCACCGACAGACCTCTGCCGTTCCAGCGCTAAGCTGCTTGCTTGCCTCTCTCGGTGCCCACCCTCCAATCTCCTCCCCCTCCGCCCGCCCGCCACCCCCGGAGTTGGGAGGGTGGCCACCCCTCAGGCCGGGCACACTCACGGGGCTTTGCAGAATCATGGTGACCCTTTTCTTCTGCTCCATCAGGTTGAAGTCCTGGCGCAGGTTGGCCGCCATATTCCTGATGCGCAGGTACTCGGGGTCGTCTTCGGAGAAGCGGTCAAAGTAATGTTGGCTTTGGGTGGGCTGGGAGGAGGCCTCCTCCGTGACGGTTTGGTCGCTCATTCTGGAATAACGGGTCGTCTCGGTTTGTGGACCTGCAAGAGGGGGGGGGAAGGCGGCGCTCAGGAGGTCTCTCTCCGTTCACCCGCGCATCGGATTGGAACGGGTTGATTGAGCCGTAATAACAGGGCCTTGGAAGGGCTCCCTTATTAACATGGAAATGGGATGTAAACAATCTCTGAGGAGGTTCAGAGCCTTTTATCTCTAACCAAACTGTATTAATTTAATGTCGTTTATTAAATGGATGTATTAGCTGCCTTTCCAGTGCTGAGAGCCGAGCGCAACTGCCAGCAGAACCCACTGAGCCTTGTGCACAACCCACAAAAAACATGACAAACAAGTTTACAAGTGGCCGTTTCTTCCTATCGGGAAAAGGGCAGGATCGTTTGGAGGTCGTATCATGGCCGAGGGGGTCAACCTGCCCCCTACGCCTGACCACGGGTCGGCTAAGGCCTGTCGCTGAGTTTCCCCACCGAGGGATGTCAATGCAGGCTTTTGGGGGAAAAGCACCAAAATGTCACCCGATTTGGAATCTGTCTTCCTGCCCTCAGCGCCAGGAGTGGGCAAAGGCGTGAGGGGCCTGGTGTGTGCGTGCGTCAAGTTTCTGACCCTGTCACTCCCACCACCCCTGAAAATGTGTTTAGGAAGAAAGGAAGGGAAGGACTGAGGTGGGGGCCGCCCCTGGTTCTGGTGCACAGTCCCTTCTCCTGGAGGTGGTCAGGAATGGAGGAGGGTGTCCTCCCCGAGGCGAAAACCAGCCTTTTAGCAAAAAGTATTTTATAAAGAATGTTGGCAGGCTTGCTTGTTACGATGGGCAGTGTGTATGTATGCAGAGAGGCTGTGTTTCTCTGCATAGACCGCTTGGGCCATAAGCGGCTCATTGATCCAAGCCATGGAGGTGCCTGATATTGGGGTGCAGCCCCCACACAGCCCACAAATTGGCCCTGGCTGTGTGGGGGCACCGTTACATCCCCCCCAGCCACTGAGGGTGAAGGTAAACAAGCCTTCCTCCCACCTGCTCACACCACAGGATATCCCGACACCCGGGGGCTTCATGACATTGTCCACCAGAAAGTGAGAAGATCTTGGCTTGTTCAGATGGGAGGTGGATTTGTGTTCTGTGTCTAACAACAGATGGAAAGCTACATACATTTTAAGCAAACTACTTGGACCTGTGAGATCAGTGCCCCAGAATAGCTTACTATAAAAATATGGAAAATATAAACTATAAACTGCCACCGCTGCCACAAGTGGGTGGTTGTGATAGCCCTCAAAACCTAAGAGCTGCGGGCTGGGGAATGCGGGTGGGGTAGGGCCGTTCTCCCTCTCGCCACACCATCACACCATCGGCGCATGGCTTCACAGAAAGGTGCCGGAGGCAAGCTCCCGAGCGGCCAGCTGGGCAGGGTTTTGCTCTCCTCCAAATCATTGGCTTCTACCGGTGACTGTGCAGGTTGAGGGCTACAGCGAGAAACACCCCTTCCAGTGGACCAGATTCAGACAAGTCCATGTACCTCCCTTGGCGCATTGCGAGGCTGTGTTTCCAGGAGAAATCTGCTCCCAAAGGATTCCAACCCCTTCGCCAGCCGCTGTTCCTCCCTAGCAATTAATGCCAGAGAGCATCTCCGTGCAGCATGTGGGGGAATTCATACACGCCCAGGATCACAAGGAGAGAAAGCGAGGTGCCGCCTGAGTCACGAACAATTGCAGCTTTGTAAGGCCATCAGGATGACAGAAAGCCCCAGTGAAAATTACACCCTCCAGCCAATGTTCCCCATCCTTCCTGTTTCCTGCAGCTCAAAATGTTTAATTATGGTGAATGAGGTGGGATGAAAATGCCACTTGAAAGCGCAGGAACGGTGCAAACCTCCCTCTTTAACCAAAGGAGCTGAGGTGTGGCTGTTAAGCAGAAAACAGACCGACGATCCCACATGGGACCCCAGACTGTTACTCATCTGGTGGCCTGTGGCAAGGACAATTTTTCCCCCCAAGGGAGCCGGTTTAACAAAAGGGGCCCATTAACAAGCAGACCCGAGAGTAGATGATGCTCAGCAGATCTCTTTCCTCTTCCTTTCTGCCATCCCTAAAGACTTACATCATCTGCCACCCAAGAGGACCACTTCCTTTGGCCACAAGGTGTGGCACCTTGGACAAGCTGGTGGGCATCATAATGTTGGGCAAGCGGTAGGAAACACTTGGGGTTTTGGGCGGGACACAAAACCCCCAGAATCTGCAATATGGGGGGGCTGCAATTCACGAAAAGCAAGTATTTTCCACCTTGGGACCAGACTCTGCAATGGCATTTCAGTCCCTAGGAGATGAGCTGTAAGGCCAAGCACATCCACACTGCTGCTGCTGCTGCTGAAGTGCAATGCCCATCATCCTCACCCCAGCTTGAGGACTGCTCGGATCCATCCTTCCCCTTTCCTCCCATGAATCTCCACAGCTGGGGGAGCAGCTCCCCCCGCCTCCTGTGCATTTAATCCCAGCTCCTTCCAACCTTTGCTGAGCAGAGCCACGTCCTTCTGCCTCCCACTCTCCAAAAAGCGTGTGGTGGCATCGTTCCCGTTGCCTGGTTACCCAGATGTATCAGCCTCCTAAAAATAAAGATCTGAGTAGGATTACGGTAGCTTGGAAACGAGAAGAGCCTCCTTGCCTTTCTTCCTGTGGATAGTTTATTGCTAATATATATACACACACATATATATTAGTACACACGTACGCACACCTCTAAGCCATGCTTTCCTTCCAAAGTGGCTCTCAGCCGAGGAAGAGCGAACTCAGTTCCAACTGAGAGGAGCCACAGAAGCCAAGGCTGCGACCCATCGTTTCTGGAACGCCAAGGTGAAGAGATTATCTGACTTGTTGGGCCTTCCTTACTGCTCCCCCCTCATCCCTTGGAACTCCAAGGTTCATGAACAGCAACTCCCACCTCCCCATGCATTTAGAAGGAAAGACCGGCGACCCTCTGACCCTGGGACCTGGAGGTGAATGAAACGGAGCCAGCAGCTCCTGCACGCCAAAGGTCACCCCGGTTAAAACCCAAAACTTTATTCATGGCATCACAGCCAGGAAGACTTCAGAGCAAAATTAGTCTCTTGCACTGTTGTTGCTGTTTTTGGTGTGTGTGTTTAACTTCAAGGTCTTTCCAAAAGAAAAGGCACTTCCAAGTCAAACGGCAAGCTCTCACTGCACGCAATCTACCAGGGCCCCCCACCTCCCCCACTCCCAGCAATTAAGCACTCAAAGTCAAGCAGCATTCATTGGGAGGGGTCTAAATGGAGGCTCCGGGGTCTTTTTGCACTTAGCCTGTACGCTCAGTTTGTAGGACTCCCTGCATAAACTTTTAACCTTCCCAGTCAAGAGCGGCTATTCCATGTGGGTAGGGCGAGCCGGGCAGGGCATACGGGAGCTCACAGCCAGTGGGGGGGGGGGAAATCCCATTATGTGGCATTTGCAATGTTGATGGTTAAACCTGGGACTGGAAAACAGGTCGGCCATGCCCAGTAGCTATGACAGCCCTTTCTTGTCCCACGAAGCAGCTGCCACTTTCATACCGGGCATGGCCAGGAACGCCTGGAGGCGCTGGGTCTTGGGATAAATGTGCCCCCTTCCAAAAACATTTGTCCCATCTTTCACAGGCTGGCTTTTCTCCCAGGAGACACAGCAGGGGATTGAACTCCCAACTTCTGGCTCTGCAGCTAGTTGCTATCTCAGTCCACTATCGTAACAACTGATCCCTTTGACTGCCATTGAAGGTCTTGTAGATTCCCCACCTGTGAAGGGGGGAGACGGGCAAGGCTGAGAGGAATTAGGCTGCCAGTGGCCTCCTTTTCAAGAAGAAAGTCAAGGTAAATGCATTTTAAATGAATAAATCATTTTGTGACCCTTTCCACCTGATTTATAGGACTTCCCAGCTCCTTTGCTGATTTAGCAGACCTTTCTGGTCTCACTTTTTCTGCTGTTTAGCCTCTCAGTCCCACCGGCACTGGACCCCCATTGGTTTTTGAAGTTGACATGACCACTTCAGTCAGTCTTCAAAGTGGATTAACCAAATGGCCATTGAAGTTGACATGACCACTTCAGTCAGTCCTCAAAGTGGATTAACCAAATGGCCAAACAAGAGGGAGCATCAGTCAAACATCGCTTTCCAAGAGAGAGAGAAAGAGAGAGAGAGGAACCAATGAATGCAATTACAGGGAGCATCAGTCAAACATCTCTTTCCGTGTGGCATTCCTTGCCATGGGCTCTGATGGGCTTACACCCAGAGCAAGCTGCTTCTGGAGGTCCCTTTCTTCTGAAACACACCCACGAAGACCAGAGAGGCTTATTCAAGTTCCACCTCTCTCAATGTTCCTCCAGTTGGTTCAAGGAGAGAAAAGTGGACCAGACCATGCTAGGAAAGAACAAGAAAGAGTCTAGGGATGGTAACAGAAACCTCTCAATCCTGTCCCTCCCAGGGGAAAATGAAGTTCCATTGGGTAGGAGGGTACAACCAGAAATGACGCTAGACCACTTGCAGGTATAAGATTTACAAAACGTACTAGCCCTCCCCAATGCCATGGCCATGTACAGCCAGGTGTTTTTGTTTTAAATCCATGCCTGTGTTTACTCAGGTGTAAGCCTCACTGGTTTCAGAGGAATTTACTCTTCGTGGAGCCCTCGAATCCTGATTGGCCAGAAGAAAACACAGAGAGCAGGGCTGGACCTCCAAAGTCCAAAGACAGCCAAAAAAAATGCCGCCCTGCCCCAGCTGCTTTGAAGCTACCCTTGAAGCTTTGAACCAAAAACACACTTTATTCTTTTTACCCATCGACCCAGTGACGGATGTTCTTTAACCAAGAGTCCAAGGGCTGAATTGATTCAGGCTGAACTCCCTCGCCCTCTCCTTCTCCTGACTCCCTTCACGTCTCACATCACCTTCCCGTCTGGAAGCTGGTCTTGTCCGATTCTTGCTTCTGATTTAGTGTGAACACAAACATCCTCAAACAGCATCTTAGCAGCAGCAAAAATAATCCCCAATGGGATTA